CGATCTGTATGCTTGACATATGAGTTGAATGATGCCACAATCGTGGTTCTATCCACATTCAATGACTATATTTGTGTTCAGAACTCACAATGTCAAGTGTAGAACCTCGACAGAAGCTGCGGATCTCTATAGGTCTGTCGCGCCACATTCAACCCGATAATGCTACATTTACTATATCAAGCGACTGACCGACCGTACAGATCGCGGAGGAACGTTCACCGACTGCATTTGCAAAGTCCCCGGTCAGGAAGATATCGTGGTGAAGATTCTATCTGTCGATCCCAAGAATTACGATGATGCCCCGACTGAAGCCATCCGCCGCGTATTGGAGATTTACTATGGAACGAGCATTCCGAGGGGAACTGGGTTGGATACAAAGGATATCGGTGGGAGACATCCTGAGTTACGAGCCTTTCTCCAGGCTAACCTTCTGTTTAGAGTCAATACGCATGGGGACGACCGTTGCGACAAACGCACTGCTAGAGAGGAAAGGCGAGCGCACTGCCCTTCTCATCACGGAGGGCTTCAAAGATTTGCTGGAAATCGGCAATCAATCGCGACCCTTCATGTTCGATCTCTCAATTCGAAGGCCTGAAACACTATATTCCGAGGTATTTGAGGTGGAAGAGCGCGTGACCCTGCGTAACTGCACCGACACAGACCTGCGAAGCATGGACCTCTCGTCGCCACCCGTACTACGAGAGCTCACGGGTACATCCGGAGAAACTGTCCAGATATTAAAGTCATTGAATCTCGAGTCAGTGGAGGAATACCTGAGGAAGATATACGCGGACGGGTACAGATCCATTGCTGTATGTCTGATGCACGCCTACACGTTTCCCGATCACGAGCTCCAGATCCGGAACCTGGCGCAACAGATCGGGTTTGAGAATGTCTCGCTGTCGCATGCTGTATCGCAACGAACTAAGATTGTGCCTCGAGGCAACTCTGCTGTCATTGACGGATACCTTACACCGACAATCGAACGATATCTGAAGCAGTTTTTGACCAGTTTCCCAGATATTGCCAAGTCGGAAACCAAGTTGGAGTTCATGCAATCCGATGGTGGGCTGGTCCCTGCTCATAGACTCTCGGGACTGCATTCGATTCTTTCTGGCCCGGCTGGTGGAGTGGTAGGGTATGCTCGTACCTGCTACGACGAGGTCAACGAAGCCCCACTGATTGGCTTCGATATGGGAGGAACAAGCACAGACGTTAGTCGCTATGATGGGACATTGGATCATATATTTGAGACCACTACGGCGGGAATCTCGATGCAGACTCCACAACTCAATATAAACACGATCGCTGCTGGTGGTGGGAGCATCCTGTTCTGGCGTGACGGGTTGATGTCTGTTGGACCGGAAAGTGCCTCTTCGGATCCGGGTCCTGCGTGCTATCGCAAAGGGGGCCCATTGACCATCACGGATGCCAATCTGGCTCTAGGAAGGTTGATCCCGGAGTATTTCCCCTCTGTATTTGGTCCAAATGAGGATGAGCCCTTGGATCGCGATGTTGTTATTGCCAAATTCGAAGCTTTGACGGCAACGATCAACCAAGATACGGGCAAGTCATTGAGCTGGGCGCAGGTGGCACAGGGGTAAGCTTCTCGCTGGAATATGAGATATCATTGAGGCTAATATGCGTGCAGCTTCCTCGACGTTGCGAATTCCGCTATGTGTGGCCCCATTCGGAGCCTGACAGAGGCTCGCGGTTACGACACAACGAAGCATCACTTAGCATCCTTTGGTGGAGCGGGAGGTCAACACGCCTGTGCCATTGCCGAAATTCTTGGTATCCAGAAGGTCTTGATCCACAAGCACTCCTCAATTCTCTCTGCCTATGGTATTGGCCTGGCAGATGTGGTGCAGGAAGGTCAGAGGCCCTGCGCAAAGGCATACGATTCATCGAACCTCCCGACAATCTTAGCGAACTTGGAGGAACTCGCTCTGGCTACCAAGGATCTCTTAGGGAATGACGGGATACTGAACGTGGACGTGGACCGGTTCCTTAACATGCGCTATGACGGAAGCGAGACTACCATTATGATTGCAGTGGACCAGACCCATGATATGTTGCAGAACTTTGTCAAAGCACACCATCAGCAATTTGGCTTCACGCCTACTGATAGGAATGTATTTGTTGATAGCATTCGAGTTCGGGCCATAGGTCGAGGCTCTTTCGCTGCCCCTTCGCCTGATGTTCCGGCTTCGGTCCCAGCGAAGCCTTCCGTACCCACAGATAAGTGCTCTGCGGCTGAGGCTACAAATAGTGTTTATTTTGATCAGCTTGGATGGATAGACACACCAGTATACATCCTCAAGTCCATCCCTCTCGGACAGAAAATCAACGGCCCGGCACTTGTGGTCGATGAAACGCAAACGATACTCGTGGGCCCAGGCTCTTCAGCAACATCCGCGCAGGACAAGCTGATCCTTGACGTCAAAGTTTCCGAGAAGGGCCGCAACGTTACCACTGATACTATCGACCCTGTCCAACTTTCTGTATTCCGCCACCGTTTTATGAGCGTCGCGGAGCAGATGGGTCGTGTACTGCAACAGGTGAGTGTGAGCGCGAACATCAAGGAACGGCTCGATTTCAGTTGCGCTGTGTTCAGTCCGGATGGGTCTCTGGTCGCAAACGCCCCCCATGTGCCTGCGATGATTGGTAGCATGGCCTTTGCGGTAAGGGGTCAGATTGGAGAATGGAAGGGGAGGTTGAAGGCGGGAGATGTTTTGTTGTCTAATGCACCTGGTTCGTACGAGGGAAATTTTGCCATCCATTCACCGTGCTAATCAATCAGTTCAGAATATGGGGGTACCCACCTCCCAGACCTCACTGTTATTACTCCCGTATTCGATGCACAGGGGAAAGAAATCATCTTTTGGACAGCTTCACGAGGCCATCATGCTGATGTACGTGCACCCTTCCCTCCAAGTTGTATCAACTTGCCCGGCTAAGATAATCAGATTGGCGGTATCCTGCCTGGCTCGATGCCTCCATCCTCGAAGGAACTTGCTCAAGAGGGAGCTTTGTTCAAGTCATTTCTATTAATCCGAGACGGCGTTCTGGACGAAGTCGGACTCGTTCGGCTTCTTTGCGACGAGCCAGCACAGTATCCTGGCTCCAGTGGTACCCGAAGGTACCAAGATAATGTGACAGACCTGAAAGCCCAAGTGGCTGCCAACCATTGTGGCATCCGGCTCATCCACCAGCTGATTGAGGAGTACTCGATGGAAGTTGTTCAGGTGAGCCAATCATACCAATAATCATTCTGACTCGTCGGATTAGACAACTCACAAGCATGTCTGCTAGGTATATATGAAAGCGATCCAATCCTCCGCCGAACTCGCCATCCGCAATCTCTTCAAACGTCTCGCGCGCGAGTTCCATCAAACAAAGCTGAGAGAGGTCGACTACATGGACGATGGAACACCGATCTGCCTCCAAATAACGCTCAATGAGGCCGATGGTTCAGCGGTATTCGACTTCACAGGCACTGGACCCCAAGTCTACGGTAAGCCGATCTTTCACCACCACCCACATGGGATAAACCCTTACTAACCACCGCGGGAATTCTAAGGCAATTGGAATGCCCCGATAGCCATTACATACTCATCCATTATATTCGCCCTCCGGTGTATCGTCGACTCCGACATCCCGCTAAATCACGGCTGCCTGGCCCCCGTGACCGTCCACGTCCCCAAGCCCAGTCTTCTCAATCCAGCTCCAACCGCCGCTGTCTGCGCCGGTAACGTCCTCACCTCGCAACGAATTGTCGACGTAGTCTTCAAGACCCTCCGCGTCTGTGCCGCCAGCCAAGGCTGCATGAACAATTTCTCCTTCGGCACGAACGACTTCGGATACTATGAGACGATCGCAGGAGGTAGTGGAGCGGGTCCGACATGGTCCGGCACGAATGGTGTACATACGAACATGACGAACACGAGAATCACAGATCCGGAGTCTTTGGAACGACGGTATCCGGTTCTTCTCAGGAGGTTTTGTTTCAGGGGTGGTAGTGGTGGAGAAGGACAATATAGAGGCGGCGACGGGGTAGTGAGGGATGTCGAGTTTCGGATTCCGATGATAGCATCTATCTTGTCTGAGAGGCGGGTAGTGAAGCCATATGGAATGGGCGGGGGAGAAGATGGTCGCTGTGGCAAAAATTTGTGGGTTAAAGGGGAAGATGGGGAGATTATGTCGATTGGGGGAAAAAATTCGGTTGAGATGAGGGCCGGAGATCGTTTGGTTATTGAGACGCCTGGAGGGGGTGGGTATGGAAGCAAGGGCGGTGGTGAGGGCAAGATTGAGAAAGATCAGGCCAAGGTAAATAGGGGATTTGTTCCTATCGCCAACGGATCTGTAGAGGCGGTTAGAAGTCTGGCTGAGCAGGTGTAGTGGGATTCCCGGATCTAAGTATACTACATACTATGGATGATATTGATGCAAATGTCGGCAATGAAAGAATCTGTGCTCCTTAAAACAATGTGTTTCTTACGCAACTTTTCCTTGTGAACTGAAGCATCAGTCCCTTCTATCAAGTCTAGACGGTCCTCGAACCCTGAGGGACCTATCAGGGCTCAATAATGTACAGGCGTTCAACCGACCGAAAAGCCCTGCTGGGGGCTCTGTGTGGCGTAGTCTAGAATTAAATTCATAGGGTTGACAGCTAAGAACGGTGTCCAGCTTATCGAGTGCTGATAAATGATCGCCGCCGGATCAGACCCTTGCTGGTTACTCCAACGGCGACTTCTCCAACTGCTGGGATGATCCGCGATAAGAAGCATTCATCATCTTGATTGGCGAGAACATGCAAAGAAAGCCCTTGTTATCACCCACATCCCGTTCTCGAGCAGCACCGGCCGTGCTCGGCGTCAGCTATCACGTCAAACCATGATAAGCCTATCGTTCCCCAGCGGGGTTTATATCTCTAGCAGTAGACGGTGTATGCACCATGTCGCGTCAATGCCCATCACACCACTGTGTGAAAACCCACCATGTCTCACGAGCTTCGAGTCCTACCACCAGGTGCCGGCTATGGAATTGTCATCGGTATCGGTGGCATCTTCGCCCTATTCATGCTTGGTATTTCCTGGCTTCAGAATCGCTATACTCAATTCTCTACCCACCGCGCCGAAGAATTCAACACCGCGTCACGGTCTGTCAAGCCGGGCTTGATCTCCGCTGGAATTGTCTCCTCATGGACATGGTCGGCTACACTTCTAACCAGTTCGACTTTCGCATATTCTTATGGCGTCTGCGGACCCATGTGGTACGGCGCCATCGGCACGCTGCAGATCCTCCTCTTCGCCTTGATCGCCGTCAAGATCAAAGCAAATGCACCGGGCGCACACACCATGCCAGAGATCGTCCTCTCCCGGCACGGCAAGATGGCCCATCTCACCTACTTGTACAATGGTTTGGCTACGAATATGCTTGTTAGCGCCTGTTTGGTGCTAGGTGGCGCGCAGGTGGTGGCGGCAATCACGGGGATGAATGTGTATGCTGCCAACTTCCTCATTCCTGCTGTTGTCGCGGCGTATGTTATTGTCGGTGGATTGCGCGCCACATTCATCGCGGATTATACCCATACCGTTATCCTATTTATCGCTATCTTGGTGTTTGGGTTCTCGGTGTCGGCTACTAGTGACCTCATTGGAAGCCCGGGGAAGTTGTATGATTTGCTGCAGGAGGCATCGCGAGATATGCCAATCGATCGCAATACTGATGGATCATATCTTGCATTCCGGTCCGTAGGTGGTTTGATCTTTGCGGTGGATATATTTGTTTCTGGGTTCAGTACTGTCTGGCTTGATCAAGCTTACTGGCAGCGAGCTATTGCGTCACGACCGGAGTCATCTGTGAAGGCATATATGCTAGGAGGCGTTGCCTGGTATGGTGAGTGACAGGGCCTTCCCAAAGCCCATGTCTTTTCACTAGGTATTAATCAACATAGGCATTCCGTTTGGCTTTGCAACAGCGATGGGTCTCGGGTGCGCAGCCCTGACCAGCAACCCAGCGTTCCCAACATACCCCAACCCATTATCGGCTTCGCAAGTAGACGCCGGACTGTCCGCCCCAGCAACCGCAATCACCCTTCTCGGAAAAGGCGGCGCGGTACTCATGCTCATACTCCTGTTCATGGCCGTGACTAGTTCCACATCCGCTGAACTCATCGCTGTCTCCTCCTTACTAACCTTCGACGTGTACAAAACCTACATCCGCCCGAACACCGACTCTGCGACACTCGTGCGTGTCAGCCACTGGGGTATTGTCATCTACGCCATCGTCCTGGCCGCATTCTGCTGCATTCTCAATGCCGCAGGCGTCAGTCTCACCTGGCTCCTTACAGTACTGGGAGTGATTGTCGGCGGGGCAGCTATTCCTGTAGGACTCATTCTACTCTGGGACCGCATGTCCACTGTTGCCGCTATCGCAGCCCCCTGGATCGGATTTGGCTTAGGTATCATTGTCTGGTTTATCACTTCATGGAAGCGATCTGGCGGGATCAGTGTTGCGACGACGGGCGATGCCACGAATGCCGTTGCCGGAAACTTGGCCTCGTTCGGGGTGGGGACTATTTCCGCTGTACTTTTGAGTTTACTATTTCCGGGGAAACGTGGCCACGACACGTCGTCAACGAACAGTATTACAGGGGTCCCTGTCGAACCAGAGAAGACCTCGACAGAGACGTCAGCCAAGAAGAACAATGATACCGAAATAGTCACAATGACTGCAACACCCAGCGAACCGACCACGCAACCGAAGAACGATATAATTGAGTACCTCGAAACTGAGACCATTGAGCCCATGGATCCTGCCCTCGTTAAAAAAGCAGAGCGATTTGCCTGGACAGCGAATGTCATCTTCATTGCCATTGCCGTGATCCTTGTTCCCTTCACTCTGTTTGGGACGAGGTATGTGTATAATAGGGAGTTTTTCACAGGGTGGGTTGTTGTCTCCTTTATCTGGGTTTGGGCGAGTGTGCTCATTTGTGTGATATATCCGGTGGTAAGTTACGTCTTTGATATCATCAAGTGCAATGCAGGAAGGTCATGTTTACTGACAGAACATCGTGCAGGTTGAAAGTGCAGGTGCTTTGCGGGATATTTCAAGGGGGATATGGGGTGATATTAGGGCGATTTGGGGACGTAGGAAGGAGAGATTGCGAACTGGACAGCCAGTATAAAGATTAAATGAAGATTGTAGATGTAATTGTCTAGCCTCTCAGAGCGGAGATGAAAAAGAGCCTGTTCTACAGGCTGTTCCTGAACTCCACGATCTCTTATTCCTCATTACGAGGCATTAGTATATATTAACTTGAAAATATCATTATCCAGATCAAAATAAATGAATCTTTCAGTCCAGACACCAAGCAGAGAGCTTCAACACCTCAATCCCGAACTGCGCGTACTCGCCTGACCTTGAGGAGTCTATCGTAATCCCACTCAACCCACGCACCAATGCCCACGCTCGCCCGCTCGACCAACCGCGCGAACGCAACTGCATCATCGTCCTTGCGATATCCCTCCCGGCGATATGCCCTCGCAAAATTAAGCCACATCAGCGTCTCCGACCCAGGAACCACCGACCATCCCAAAGGCCTCTGCACGCGGGGTAGCACCATTGAACGCCCCTCATCATCCTCCGACACATCTTCGACCACCAAAACCTCTTCAAAATTTTGATACTCTAACATATCAAACACCGATGTGATGGCCTTCTTCTCCCGCTCCAATAAAGACCGGGGAAAGGCGAGGCGAGGGAGCGCAGGCGGGCTAGTCTTGTAATTCATGCCTTCATATTCAGGGGCAAAAGCCAGATTTGGGCCTTCGGAAAGAAACTCTAGGTACCGAGAGTCCGGCACGTATAGGGCATCTGAAGCCGGCTGAAAGGGCCGTGTGAAGTGGAAGCCATCAGGGTTCCAGTGGAAGAGGAGGGTCCCTGCTTGCTGACGCAGCCAGTTTTGCGCTACGGAGTGCGCCTCGTGATTGACTAGGAAAGGAGGCACGTCTACTTTCATAGTGGTGAGGCATGAAAGATGGAAGCTGAGGTGGAATTCGTCCTTAGATACACTGTGGGCCTTCCAACACCCCCTTTGGTAGATGTAAAGGCCTTGGTGGATGGGGGTGGGGAGGGAGTGTTGCCAGATGGAGAGGCGGAGTTCCGGGGGGAGAAGGCTGAATTTGGGGAATGTGGCGGACGTAGTTGGAGATTCTGGACTAAGCATAGTGATGGGGTGATGATGGGAGGACAATCTAATGAATGAGGAAGAGGGTGGTTAAACACTGGCGGAGGCGAAATGGGTATGCCTGTCCTGGATGAGATGTGGCCATATCGAAGATGCTGATTTTGTTGGATTTATATTGAGTTCTCACCACCGGGCAAGCTTTTCCGTGGACAGGGATGAGCAGAGCCCCTGCACGGTCAAAGGTTGAGCTGATAGGTCATATTCCGCATGTTACCAGTCCAGTGTGGGATCATCTTCTTTGCTTATTCGACATCTGCACGTGGTCTATATTTAACCTTCCTGATGTTGTCTTTAGTAGATCCGATCACAGTGTGGAGCACAGGGCTTCCCATCCTCTCAGCCGTACTCCGGCCAACAGAATCCGCACAGTTAATAATCGAAGAGCTCTTGACTCGACCTTTTTCCAAAACTATATTTAGGGGCTTATTAGAGTTTGGCATGGGGAACAATCTGCGATATACATTTCTCATAGGTTACCAATTGTCGCTGGTGATCGTCAATGGTCGCCCGTAGTAGTCAATGGTCGCTAGTAGCCGCCAATGGTTTCCGGTAGTCATCAGCGGTCGCCAAATACTAGAACCGGAAAGATTTGATAAGCTGAGCGAGGGACCCATTGAGCTGTCTCACAAGTCGTCGATGGATAGGCGGAGGGCCTTGCAATTTTAGTATGATTTCTGAACTTGTACTTGTTTGCATTCATCCTTGCCAAAATCCTGCATCTTACTCGAACCACGTGTTATCATATGACCATGATCCTAGACAAACTACATAATTATCGAGACACTCCGTCCTTTGGCAATTTCCAGTGGTTTTCCAGTGGTTTTATTCTGAATAAAATAAAGTGCGCTCATCGCAATACCAATTCATGTCCATATACTACAGAGAACTCAATATTTACTCTATACTAAAAAAAGCATTCATCTCACCGTGCCGTATCACGTGACTACCGACGCTATTGCGCACCAGCTCCTAGGCTATAATATAGGGAGGTAGATGGAAATGCCTTTGTACTTTAGTACTTAAAAAATTGAGTGAGTAAAACAGTAAACTCCTGTCCTGAAAATTATCCTCAACATACTTCCCATTATTCATATCATACAGATTGATAATGAATGAGTTGTGTGAAAGCTGTCTATCCATCATCCCTTATTAAGTTAAGATTAGGGACCAGTCCTCCTTAAGGCAAGAAACTTAATGCATGGAGTCATTTTGCAAAAGAAACTACGCAAAGGGTCCCAGTATCCAAGTAGATCCTAAAAGGGAAGATGGCAGTAGGCCTAGCATTGGCCAGTTTCAACTTTTAATACACGAACGACTAATGATATAAATTCCAGTATTATTCTCAAGGAAATCAAGTATTTCAGACCTCCCTGCTGGACTTCAGAGACTATAATGTTGTAGTAATAACTGAAATTCGACAGCTGCCATATATTGCGTTTCTCATTCTCGCTTTTAACAAGTTAGAATTACAGTAGGGCATTGCGTATATTTGATGTAGAATTAACATGAATTATAGAGAGGTTAATAAGATTGTGCTGACGCCGCCAGCAATCGCAACCTCCTATTGCATGTTTTCACAATGTTTCTCGGTTCCTTATTTGGCTATCTGCTCTTCATTGCGTGATGTACTGATTTTCACTGCATTCAGCCGCATATTAAGAGTGTCTTGGATACAATGTTGGACGACAAAGTGCTGTCGGACCGAGCCGCGACTGACAATTGCCCAAGTAGATCGATTATCGCTTCCCCTTATTCGATAACGATGAACTGCAGCGTATTTGAAGCTAGTACCAGAACATTCGGCCGTCCATTATTATCCGGTGGAATGGCGATTGCTGTCCCAAACCCAACAACTCTGACAATTGTGTCAATGTGATCCTCCTTTACTCTCCAATCCCACCAGCTCAGCTTGCATCCCTTAAACTGGTATCGGAGGACCTCGCCCGTCTGAGCATCCTCCGGCAGATCAAATTTAATTTCGCGCTTCTCAACATGTATCCAGGTTTCGTGGGGTTCAAGAGTAACAAACATATCGCTCGTACCTACCGTGCACGGGGAATCTTGATCTTCAAACTGGTGGCATCCGACAGTTCTATAACTGCGCCATGGCCCCCATGTCCCCGTATCTGAACTGTGCCGATAGACACAGAACACCCCCCCCCCCCCCCCCCCCCCAATTCGAAATCGCTGTTCGAAAAGGTGATCGGCTCAGAGGTACTATCGTCTCCTTCCACTCCATGATATGTGAGCTTCCAGGTCAAGGGCCAGCTCTCATCAACCCTCCATGTTACCGGCGCATCTAGCTGAAGACAGAAAATGGGCGTGCCTTGGGGGCTTTGCTGTTGTGAGTAATCCCAACTGCATTTCCAGACCAGAAGAAACTCACACACTATCATTACTCTGTTTGCAGATCGGAGAACTTCGTGGCGTTGAGGTTGGTAGTGGCACATCGCCTTCCACAGGTGTGAGGCCTTCGTATAGTCGATCCTCTTCGGAAACTCTTGGGCAGGGCTTCATGGGTTCATCCATCCTCTGTCTTTTCTTTTTTCTGTGTTAGGGAACAACAATGGTAAAGCGAGTTAAACTTAGAGAGGAACAAAATTACTTGACCTCAAAAGCCTAACACGATGAGCAGCAAATATGCAGTGGCACGTCAGCAACAAATAGTAACCAGAACGTGGGGCGGGCTATTTCAAACTTACATTGTCTCCAACTGGCCACATATACTCTCTTTCGAATAGTCGTCAAAGCTTGCCCCGATACACGATATAGCAAAGAGGAAGTGTGGAGACGCTAACCCCAAGCCACTGTACGGCTTTGATAAAACATAGCACATGGTTAGTGCGCGCTCCAAGGACAGCTTGTGAGGCAAAGGCACTGTCTTGTCCAAAGCGCCGGTGTTAGTAATCCCTGCAACAAGCCACTAAGACCATGCCACATCATCTTGCATGGACCCGACCGGGAGAGATAACGTGCGACTCAAGTTAGGGATGAAGTAGTGATCGGGACTTGCTGTATCTGCTTAGTCTTCGCCGAAGTCACGATAACACAGTCCAAACACCATAATGAGGTTGAAATCTCGCCTATTTGCTGATGATGCTAAGGTTGATGTTATCAAAGCCAATATCGACATGTGCTGCCCCCTATGTGACCGTTCGATGTCTTTCGGGTCCTCCCACGAAAGATTGGTGAGGTCAAAGGATCAGATCCAACTGTATCAGAGATTATGCTTTCATGATACATGTGATAAGTGTACTTCCATCTCACATGGCCATCTTTGTGAGGTATGCAGACACATGAGACTCAGTCATATCGTGTGTTGCGGAATATGTGGATGTGACACAGGGACTGGCTGTAGGGCAGATAGCTGCGAAAATATGCACCACATAAGTCACATTCGACTGCCTTTCGGATCTTACGATCAATTGCAACAGCGATCAAGATATTGCGAGACTTGCAGTGTATTCGCACCAGATGTAGAGAGGTTGAAAAGTGTGTATGACTTCGATCGCAATGATAGGATCTATTTGAATCTCGCGAATAATTGCAGTCTTCTTGAAAAGGTGAAATCTGGGTTCTCCCTTACACTACGCGTTGGTTCACTCAAAACCGGCCCCCCAGGTAAATATGCCCTACTTTCACTATCACAAAAGCACTTGGCTAATCAGTCTTCCAGATATACTTTATCATGGTACTGCGGATGAACGGCAATGGAACAATATGATTTCACTTGACATTCCAGCCAAGCACATCAACTGGGAAAGAGTATCCCACTGGCTGCCGGATTGCGATACCAATGATTCTGCTGACCATAGAGATTCCTGTCACTTGGAGCCCCCCAAATCTATCTTACCCAGTTTCCGTGTTATCGACACCGAGCAGCAGTGCGTCATTATTGCTCCACCATTCTGCAGATACGCCACACTGAGCTACGTTTGGGGGGAGACAAAAGGCTCAGTTCAAGCTCTTGTTTCCAATATCAAAAGTCTTGAAGTACCAGGGTCTTTAACAAGGACCGGAGTCTCACTATCACCTGTCATTCGCGACGCTATTACGGCATGCCGTCATCTGAGAATCCGATATCTCTGGGTTGACCAACTTTGCATTCTGCAAGATGAGGACATGGCAAAGAAGGCATTGCATTTGAATGCAATGGGAGACATATATGGCTATTCATACGTTACTCTGGTCGACCTGGTCGGCACCAATGCGGACCACGGACTATATGGGGTAGATGCCAGACAGCGGATCCGGCGATGGAGCGCCAAAGTACAAGGTCTCTATTTTCTGGGGAGAAGTGACCCTTTTGAAGCATTAGTCGCTGAGTCAAAATGGATGACTCGAGGCTGGACATTTCAGGAAACACTGCTATCTTCCCGACTACTATTGTTCTCAGACACCAAACTCATCTACGAGTGCTCTGGCAGGGATTGCGTAGTTGATGATGAATGTGGGCGTGCCTGGCCTCGCAAAAGAGTGAAAATTCCCTTGGGTTCTTACCAAGATATTGTTCGTGACTACACAAAACGGACTTTCAGCTACGAATCTGATATACTACGAGGGTTTGCGGGTATACTACATGCGGGCTTCGGTTCCGACCATTACTTCGGACTGCCATTAGGCGAGTTTACTAAATCATTGAGTTGGTATACTGAAAATGGTGATTATCCACGCAGGGTCACGGAAACCGGAGATGATGTATTTCCATCTTGGTCCTGGTCGTCAACAACAAGTAGCGTCAGGTTCTTCAAGAGTAGTCGAATAACGCGTACTGCTACTGTGGCTATTTTCGCAATTCCATCACATCAAGATGAAAGCCAGGCTTCCAAGGTCATCATGGACACTCCAGGTTTTGTGGGAGTGGAACGCGAGATGTTGTATCCATTTTATATTTCGTGGGCGCTCCTACTAATTCAGGCCTGGAGACAAGGCTGCTTTCCCGAGAAGATCCCGACAGAGCTGGACGACTCTCGGATGACTTGGGTGGATTGTAAATCTATTATTAATAATATATGGCGATTTTCCAAGGATATTAGCCATGTTGCACGGGGAATCGATCCACAAGCCTCCACGGTCCGCAATTTCCATTCGAAATTTCCGGCTCCCCTCCAGAGCGAATGTGAGCCTGGTTGCATTATGGTGTACACACAGTCACTACGTCTCAGAGTCATACCAGCTACAGAAGGGTATGACGAACCCAATCTTCAGGATCAGCAAGGGCGAATTATTGCGTGGCTACTACCACAGACCGCCGATTGGAGCTCGATCACGAATACGCCTAATGGTAGAACCAGCAAATTTGACGTGATAGCTCTGTCATTTGAAGCTGACCCAGACGGACTGGAACATCATGATACGTACAAAAGCTGGAAAGCATATAGTGGACTCAAAGACCTAACATGGTATGATTCTTCAGGGAAAGTTCTTCCATTTGTCGAAAAGCCGAGGATGCTTTTGATGGTGCTGAAAACTGAAAATGGGGTTAGCAAACGTGTGGCACTTGCTGAAAGCTGGCTTAGAGTTTGGATCCATGCAAAGCCAGAGTTCAAAACATTCATTCTTGTATAGGAAGATTGCTATGAGAAAAAGTGAGTAGCAAACCACAATGAAGCTAGACCCTTGAATATGATAGGATCGAATAGCAAAACTGGATGGTATTGATATTTGCCGAGACACCCTCACCTCCAGCCTACAGCATTCCAGATATGTTGAAACGTGTAGGACTATATTAGATTCTTAGAATGTCCGTTGACTAATCTAGGGAGCTTGGGACTTATCTCACAAGATCTGATCAGGATACTGGGCAAAGCCGGGTTTCGATCCATTTGTATCACTGTCTGCAATGCGCAAGGACCGGCGTTGGCCCAGGCATCAGACATGAGGCTGTGGCACTGATTGATGGTGGAATGCCACATTTAGCGTCGGCCATGAATCAGCGCAGTCCAGACACGCTCATGAGGGGTCAAGTAAGCACTAGTAAGCACCTGGTAAGACCCGGTATCAACATTGTCCAATTTCAGACCGTTGCTTTTCTTTGTTCGCTTTGTTTCTGATGTTTTTGATTGCTCCACTGTGTCTCCCCTTACCCCACACCGGAAATGGGCAGAGTCCCATGGTACCATCGCATAGCCGTGTAGGGGGTAAATTGCCTGCCGTAGGGACAAGGATTAATGGCCACCTCAAGCAGGCAGTAAACAAGGCTGTGCGTATTAGAGCCAATGGGAGGTGATGATTGTAAGCAGAGTATATTTCCATCATCTTAGCTATTTAGGCTTCTTCCTTTCTGTCTCACGCACGTTGTCTCATTCGCATCTCCGATCTTCCCACCCACCACTCGCTTCTCATCTTTAACAATCCCTCCCTACCCAATTCAGTTTTGATCCCAAGATAGCAGTCAGTAACCTAGACCCATTAATTTCCGCAAAACCTCTATGCTCTGATCCAATATTTAACAGCCCATCACAATGATTTTCGAAGCGTTGGGCTTGCTCGCACTCGCCTACCTGGTGTGGAGCATGGTGACACTGGAGATCAACTACCGTCGTGCTTCAAGTATGGGAATTCCCTTGGTGCGCCTTTACATCGATCCCCTGAATGTTCTCTGGATGGTTTTCGAACCAATACTCTGGCCTTGGCTGTACAAACTTCCCATCAATTGGCGCAATTACAGCTTCGGTCGCTACTCCCGCCGGGGCTGGTACTTTGCCGATCGCGGCGAGTCCCATCAACGCTATGGGCCCATGTGGGCTCTGGTCACTCCTCGCGATATCTACATTAACGTCGCCGATCCGGATGCAATCCATGACATCTTCCAACGGCGTACAGACTTCATTCGACCAAGTCAATTGTACAGTACGTCCGGATTACTCTATCATGATTGCGACGTTGTGTACGGAATTGCTAACCCGGGTTTGTCTTTAGAGGTACTCGAAGTGTACGGACCGTGCATCTCAACAGCTAGCTGGAATGACTGGCCGCGGCACCGAAAGGTCCTAGCGACTCCATTTAACGAAAGCGCCATGTCCTTTGTCTGGGAGGAAAGTGTAGAACAGGCGCGCCAGATGCTGCAGGTCTGGGATTCCTCTGTCGATGGCCACATTCCCAGTGTTGCAAGAGACCCGCGGACTCTCTCGTTGAATGTCCTTGCCGCAACAGGATTCCGCAAATCGTTCCCTTTTCAAAGTGCCAAAGATCATGAGGTGAAGTCTGATTCACCTGCCGCCTCGGAAGATGAATCAAAGGGCTACCGCGATGCACTCCAGACCGTGCTGGATAACTGCATCCTTCTCATGGTGATGCCTCGGAAATTACTCACTCTGCCTTTCGCACCCGAGTCATGGCATCATCTTGGCAAAGCGGCCACCGCTTTCAAGAAGTATATGGTCCAAATGCTGGACGAAGAAACGAAAGCATTGAACACCGGAAGGGCAGGTAGCGGAGGCTTGATGACTTCATTTGTGCGCGCCATGGATCTGAAGCAAAAGGTAGACGGGGAGCCAAAAGCAAATACAAGTGGCTCACCTCCCAAAGGACTTACGGTAGACGAGATTTTCGGAAACATCTTTGTCATCAACTTTGCGGGTCATGATACAACTGCCAATACGTTGAGCTTTGGCTTGCTGTTGCTTGCCGCATATCCGGAAATCCAAGACTGGGTGGCTGAGGAGTTGCAAGGGCTTGATGAAGAAAATATCAAGGAGCACTATAATGATTTATTTCCACGCCTGCTTCGTTGTCGGGCCGTCTTGGTATCATCTCCGTTTTCTTGTCCCAAAACACCCACCGATATTACCTTGCTGTTTTCTGTTATTTTAAATCAATTGTCGCTAACCATTGACCCCTGTGCCACAGCTCGAGACCCTCCGCCTCTTTCCACCAATTGTATCACTGCCCAAATGGACCAACGATAACCCCCAGCTACTCAAGCTAGGCGACAGAGAAATCATGATCCCTCCCCACGTAGGAGTCCACCCCAGCCTTCTCGACATGCACATCCATCCCCAGTATTGGGAGGACCCCTTGACATGGAAGCCGTCCCGCTGGATAACCAAATCAGCTGCGTCTAGCGATGTCTCAGAAGAGATCATCACCCCATCCCGGTCGACCTATTTCCCATGGTCAGACGGGCCTCAAAACTGCCCGGGGAACAAGTTTTCGCAGGTTGAGTTCGTGGCTGTCATGGCGGCCCTCCTCCTAAGTCATCGGGTGCACCCGGTTGCCAACCCTGGAGAAAGCCCGGAGGAGACGAGCGCGAGAGTCTTGGCGACCACGCAGGACGTGGATTTGCAATTGCTCCTGCGGATGACGGATGCGGATCAGGTTCGATTGGCGTGTCGTCGGGTAGCCTGAGGTTTGCCTAGTATAGGGGTAAAAGTTGTGGGGGTGATGTAATCGAAGATAAACCATATTGTATATAGCTGGCGGAGTGCCTTGCTTGGAGGTATCTTGCAGCCCCATGTAGGATACAGCAAATTTAGGTTCTGCGTTATCACGCTTATTAAATTGGGAACACGTGTGATCGTTATAATCGAGCTCCTGAGCAGAATCAACTAGCTGTTACGATTGTTCGTGAGCATTACTTCTACGATCGGAAAACCTCCGAGGCAAGAACATTTACAAGGACCGAGATTGATTACTTGCTATCCAAGGAATAGTGGACGAGCAGATAATTATTCTGAGACCCCCTGAGAGGATCACTCTGATCGCATAATATTCCATACCGTAACAGATGGTTCGGTTTTGTTTGAATAGTAGGATGGATCACAACTCATTCTTTGCATCAATGTAACATTTCAATCGTTATAACTAAAATACGAATACTTAGAATAAATAAATGAGAAAAGTTGATCATTTGGCTGTAATTCAAATGCTAATTCTATGTTAAGTTAGTAATGACATTGAATACTACTTAATTGCCTCCCTACGATCGGCCATAATTTCGGTCCCCATTAGAAGATCATAGCGCATTGTACGCCGAGATAATATCAGGGGCAATGAAATACGTAGTACGTCTTCGAGGAGGCTTTTCATAGACTGGGTCCTTAGTCGGCCGTGTAACGTCACGTATTTGCTGCAACCTTCCATCGCAAAAGAACATACCACCAGCCAAGGAACTGTTCTGCTGATTAATATCTTTTATTCATTCCCTTGATCCGAATGGCGATGAAGATGGTTTCCTTTCGCCCTCGATATATATTCGAAAATCCGTCAGTAGCATGATATTCATCACCATCTCAACACCGTCAAGATGGCTGCCGATGACAATTCCAGCGACGACGCGAGAAATACATCACTGCATGGAGTCTAGGCGTTGTTATCACCGGCTTGCTTTGTCGGTCTTTCCTCAGTGCCTTGTACTCCGATACTATCAATTTTGCTCTGCCGCAGATTTCCTCTGATTTCCGCTCCTTAGACGATGTGGCCTGATATGCGTACGGCTATTTGCCTATAGTCACCGCAATCCAGGCAGTCCGTGGATGGCTTCTATCGATGTGGAGCTTGGGGCCCCAACTCCACATTTTGACCCCCGTAAGTTTCGGTTTGGGGAACACAAGCCAGTGACCAAGGTGCCATTCCGTATCTACCGGCGTTGCTAGCTGTGCTGTGCCATTGTGCAGTGCGAATCGAAGCAGCCAGGGGAATCACTGCGGTTCGGGTTGTAGTATCAGGTTTTGCTGCGTTCGTTGCCACTGAGACCAAAACTTGACAATTGCGGCCTCCATTCCTTGGGAGACCTGGGGATTACAGCTTCAAGCTCTTTGACATAATGAGCGGGTAAAAAAGAGAAAAACATACAACAGAAGGGATTCGCTGGTGGTCACCCACCCAACTACTAACCTCCCGGCGTGTGGCTTGAGTACGGCTGAGCGGACGGGAAGCCCTATTTTCCACACCCTATGGTCGTATGTGCTTGGTTTTATTCGCTATAGACACATAACCTCCCCTGGGAGTGATCGGGTCGTTAATTCAGACCTCTGCTTTGTCGTCCAGTTTTGGTTCATATGAATGTATGGTACAGACAGGGATATTAGCACGTAAAATGATATAGACTAGCAAACATAAGTGTTTATTGGGCCCAAAAAAATGGTTTGAGATAGAGCCCGAATAACCGACTACGGGTAGTTCCCACAGTTCAAAAACTGATGTGGGATATTAAACGGCCAAATAATATCTCCAGGCAAGATGGCCGAGTTGGTCCAAGGCGTCAGGTTAAGGTCCACCTTAATAACCCAGCTTCCCCAAGCTTCCTGATCATCGTAAGATGGCGTGGGTTCGAATCCCACTCTTGTCATGCTTTTTGGCGGTGGTTCAATGATAGAAGGGTTCCACTGGCGGAGCGGCATCGAATTGAGAATAATTCCGGGTATTCCTTTGTATTTTTTTTTTCTTTTGTCTTTTGTGGAATTGGTGCGACACGAGTAACATTTGACATAGTCATTGCGGTTCAATACCAGGCGTGGGTGTTGCATCAACAAAATCCTCCTCTTATGCAGATGCGGCTATCTCATCCTCAACATATTTGGCGATCATGTACATCGTAGGGCTATCAGCATTCTGAATGGTTCAGAGACCAGGTGTAATTGAAGGGAGCCCTAGAGCCTTGCGTAGTAAGCGCCAGTAGGCGCTGATACATTTTGTGCTTCCATCTGAGCTTCTGTACTCGAATCTCATGACAGCGAAGGGATTCCTTTTCCCGTATCGATTCGCCTTTGACACCCTGTAAGTATATAAAAGCTCGTGCAGCCAGACTGGGGCTTGAGTATCGTAGTATGTAACCATATTCGCGTCTATATTGGGATCGTCAGACTCCCTTCTGTTCGTGTATCGCATTACCTTATCCACCGTCTGTAGACTGAAGTACTCTTTGCAAAAATTCACAAACTCCACGTCGTATTTGGTGTCCCTTTGGCTTGCATACGCATGAGTTGTGATGGACACTTCAATTCTGGGTCATCACAGCGGATGGACAGTCACCAGTCGAGCCAATATGGGAGCCAGCCGGGCTGTATGATGACAAGTTCATGAACATCTCCTTGTAGGCTACCTCACTAAAGAGCCGTATCTGCCGAACCGAAAGCTGGGCAAAGGACGAAAGGATAGCATTATCTTCCCCCAAACTAGTTTCAGATGCTACATTGAAACAGCTTCCTCTTTTCAACGGTCCAGAACCTCAGGTAAGCTGACTGACTTAGGAACTATTTAGAGATCATGCATTCTACTAGTTGGCACCGCTGTATATACTTATCACTGTTTGGAGTTGAAAGAATCTATGATTATTTCCTCGACAGGCTTGCTGTCCGGCACCACCGTCCAACCTATTAACAAAACAAAACTTTTTAATTATATAACGTCTGATATTCCCATTATAGGAAAGATACAATGCCTGACAAATGTAGCACAATTGGGACGACCCGACAGACTTTTATTCGGAAGGAAGTCTCACAGAAAGGTGCAGACATACATATTGACGTGTATCAAGTCACCAGTGAATCCACTCCACAATTCCAGCCAATCCATGATACTGCAACATGTTACCTAATCCCACCCATCCTCACCTCCGTTCACCCAATCATGGCCCGATTTCGCAGGTAGGGTTCTCACTCCAGACCGTCTTGGCATAGACCTGCAAGAAATCCCTCGTCGTAAACGACTTATCCATGTAGGGCTTGACGACCGGGTCTTTGTCTGTGAGACCGAGGAACTCTATAATCTTTTTTTGTATGTCACTTGTAAAGACCACGTCCACTGTCTTCGTCTCGTTCTCATCAATGTTGCCCTTGACTTGCATATAGTACGGATGCGGTTCATTTTCCATGCGTGGGATGTGCAGGGTGTCATCACCGCAGTCCTCTGAGCTGGCAGAACAATCACCAAAATCATCTTTTGTAACATGTCCAGGGTTGAGGTTGTCCGAGTCACTTGCACGACTGGTAAGCACGCTTTGCTGAGAAGCACCCGCGTATCGACTGGTAGAAAATCTGACGTTGTTACTGCCACAGTCTTTCTTGGGCATATCCTTCTCGCACTTGGAGCTTTTGTTCTGGTTCAGTTCACACTCAAGATCCTTTGCTGCGTCGTAGGGGACATCTGCAAGATAATAAAAAATATCCGCATAGGAACTAACAGTGAAGGCGTCCCCAACGGTGAATGGACCCTGGTATAAATCGTAACGTATACCATATGTGTTGAAGATAATCAATCTGGCAGAATCGGAATTGTTCCCATGCACTGTTGCATTCAAAGCGGATCTCACCAACGTATAAATGTTATCCGGACAGTTGTAAGGACTCGACGCAATATAGTATGATTGGGGAGCGCAGCCAAGTTCTGTAGTTAAATTGTATTGACTCCGAGTGCCCTCGATATCGTTTGTGACATACTGTCCGGTAGGTGTATCAAAGCTAGCAGGAACGTCAGGGTCAGTTGCCCCTAAAGCATGGTACGCGAACGTTTGGCGGTTGAAATCGAGGTAGCGACGGTCAAGGCGAACTGTTTTATCTGTAGTAGAAGACGATGTTGAACTGTGCGGTGTGCACGTCCTTGTGGGCATGGGAACATCCGTCAATGTTTTAGATCCGTTCCAAGTGTCTGAGGGCGCCACACCGCTGAGAGCAAGCCATCCCACTGTGTCAGAGTATCGGCCAGATTCGAGGCCAGACGATCCACTGTCATAGCATGTGAAGTTGCGCACGTGTGTATGGCCACCTAGAATCTGAAGGGGAATCTCAGGCTTGTTCTCTCGGAACCAGTCCTTCATGCAAATCAAGGGATTTTGGTCTCCATGGTATTTGGTTTTGATCTTGCAGCTCTGCCCAATATCAGCATGTCCAATAAGCAGATAGAGGTCGACAGTCTTGTTCATTGCGTCGTTGAACCACTCTTCCTTTGTTATTTCTTCTTCTCCCTGGACATAGAGGCCTGGAGGGGAAGCGAAGTCCTGAAGAGTGAATCCGAACGCCATGATCCGCAACCCGTGCTTTGTAGTGATATATCTGTACTTTTCCCCAATGGATGTATTTTTGCCATCCTCTTCCACAAGAACGTTGCTGGTTAGATAACGTTCCTCATAGTAGCTCACTATGTCATTTTCTATCTGACGAGTATCATTTGGTTCATATAGATCGTTGTTACCGATGGTGAGTAGATCATAGTCCAGATAGCGGAAAATTGGATTAGATAGCTGGCCTTTGGGAGTTGAGACATCACTGAGGCCATTGCCAGTCACAATGTCGCCTGGAGAGACTGGGTTAGTTGACTGGACACACTATATAAAGATTCCAAGACCAGTAAGAATAGAAGTACCAGTGTCCACAACGAGAAGATCAACGTTTTGTTGATCAGCCTTGTCACGCATGTGCGTCACAAACGAAACGAAATCACCCCAATCAGCACCGTAATTTACCTCATTCTCATGCCCTTCAAGCCATCCATGCGTATCAGTTGTATGAATGAAGTTTATCTCGCCCCAAGGAAGAGGTCTAGTGGGCCAGTGTGTCGTGTTGTGTGAATCGGGTTGCATCCGAGGGGCTATCTTCGGGGATCTTGACCGGTCGGATTCTCTCTCCTGCGCAAAGACAGCTGGAAGGGCAAGTGCCGCCGTCCATGCAAGGGCTGAGAAGGCCATTATGGGCTATTCAGGAAGCTCAGGAGGCTTCGGGGACTGCCAGGGCTCGTTGGAATGACCGGGTGCAGCGTGGCTCAACGCAGGTGAAGCCAATTGACTGATTTCGCTGCAGGATTTCTCTGACCAGCGGATGCTCTTATTCTCACCTTCGTGCTGCCATCCCACACTTCATAGTTTCGGTAGGACCGTAACAATTGCTGGGTGGTGCCAAATGGACGTGTCATAACCGGGATTCGATGTTACACTCAATACGGCTTTCTATTGGCACGACCAGCAACCAATTGGTTGCATTGGGAAGTCAAGAACGTTTTCGTCCATACTGCTACTAACGCTGTAGTTCTATTCTATGAAATATCATAACTTAATTATATCAGACTTCTTCTGCACCCATGGGCCGGTGTAGATGAATCCGATGTTCCAACAGCGATCTATGCTTAATCCGGTTTCCATGTCATAGCCTTGAAGCAGACTACGGACGTCTAAATGGTCAATATTCTGTCTAAAACCCACAAGCTTCCGTGAATGCTCCACCTGAGCGTGGCAAGCCTAGCTCCCGCGGGGTTTATTTTTTGAGTTGAGTTCTGAGCGGTTCACCTCCACAACGCCAGGCCGAATCTAGCATCACATTTGGCTCGGGATGTAGGGCTGAAACCGAAAGCTATTTGGCATACCTAAATATCTTTTAAACCGAGAAGCAAAGCGCAAATAGACGTGACGAGATTCTATTGGATAGCCCAACATAATTGCCATTGACGACAAATCCTTATATGATGTATTTTCTACTTGCGATCGGAGAAAACTGAAAAAGAAGAATCAACCTGTATTCTAAAGAAAAAAGGCTAGTTTCAAGTAACTTGACGTAATCTGATCCGGGTAGCTGTCAAGAACTACATCCCTTCGTCGCAGTAACTAACAGCGTAAGATATATTCGTACCCAGCACATCAACTCGAGTCAATTCTATCCTTTCGCCCCTGATATCTAATCGGCACCTACCCACCCCTTTATATATTCATCTATTAGATGAAAAAAAGTATAAAAATCTACAGGCAGCATCAACCTCAATGAACATAGGTGATGCAGCAATCCAGCACCGATATATAGCGCGAATACCCGATGGTCGTTATTGAGTAAGCGGCCAGTGAAAACACTCGGAAAAGAAGACGAAGATGAGAGATAAGACGTGGGGAAGAAAGTATCGGAGCGAAAAGTAAGCTACAAAAACCATTGACTCATTCCGACGTTTTAGATCCGTAACAGGAGACATATTCAGAGACCTCTACGCCGAAACATCGGCAAGGCAGCCAAATTTGAACCGTCTCCCATGAGTTTTTGCAACTGTTCGCAGGGAAAATGTTCCGAGGCTTTTGCTTCCTCAGATTACTAGTGCGAGAGGCTTGAGCAAATAAAGAAAATATCAAAGCCACTTGCGTGCCCTATGGGTAGGGCCAGCGGCATATGGCAGCCAGGATATCTGCACCCGAACGAGGGTCAACCCATCCATCTAGTCACCAGGTATCCCGGTCGCGCTGAATACTTAAGGTTAGTAGTAATGGGAAAAGCAATCATACTAGGCCCGGTTTGATTCCGGACAATGTCCCTACATACTAGAGGAGATAGTAGATTTGAAGTTCAATATCCCCACTTATCGCATGCACTGGCTAGATGCGGATAGGTCTTGGCCATCGGCGATTCACAATACCCAGGAAGTAAAAGCGAAGATAGACCGAAGCTATGGATCTCTATGATCAAGCCCCCTCTGAGCACTGCCTTACCCAATCCGCAATCTTCGGTCCAACCTCGTCTCCTGGCAAGCCGATAGACAATGCATAGCTAACATGATTATGACCAGGCAACACCTCAAACCGAGGGAGACGACGGCGACGCTCAGCATACAGCCTTGCAAAGTCCAAGTTTCCTTGTACGCACTCCTCGAAATCCCACTCCGCCAGCATCAAAAACAGCTCGGGTGTCGGCACGGAAGCCACATTCGCATCTTCAACGGGCGGCAAATCCTGGAACATACCGTACGCCGATCGGGATTGAATAAAACTATGGTCCGTCGTTCCATAATACTGTTCCATGCTCTCGCGTCGACCCTTCTTAGATAGGTCATACTTCAACGCCGCGCTGAGAAGCAGGACGCCGCGCACCAGACTCTGTCCTTGGTCCGACTTTAGGTTTCCCGAGAAAAGTGCCATGGCGAGGTGGCCTCCACCTGCACTTTGGCCAAGCGCGAAGATGGCTTTTCGGTTGCCTCCATACTGATGCACTTTGTCATGCAGCCACGAGAGAGCAGAGGCGACATCGTCCTGCCCGTCTGGGAACCGAGCTTCTGGCAGTAGCCGGTAAGTTCCCAAGACGCCGATCATACCGTGGGATGCGAAAAATCGACCGATATTTGCGTGCATGTGCGGAGTAATAGAATTGTCGCCCAGTTTAAATGCACCGCCATGAAAGTAGACGACAACAGGCAGAGCCGCGCTTGTTGAGGTAGCATCTGCTGGCCAGAATACATCCAAGCGATGCCTTGGATCTGGGCCATACTTTACATTCTTCTCATACTTAATTGAATGACCTGGGTTCAGTGGGCCAACGGATAAATGTTGGGCTTCAAAAAAGTCCTGAGAAGCAGTGTTCACTGACCCGTCCCACCGGTCTTTGAAGCCGTTTATGAATTGTTGAATTTCGGGTGCTAAAGGCATCCCTTCTCAAATGTGTGGTGCAGAGTGAATACTGTTTCCTTTTAGGCAACTCCAAATAGCTAGCTAGCCCATCAAAAACAAGCGAAGTAAATTGAAATTGGGTAAGGGTCTGTAAAGGAGAACAGACGTTGGGGTCGAGGATGGGGTCGGTAGTGGCAGCCTTAACCAAGACAGACAGATGAAGTGTAATGAGGTGGGGTTGGGGAATGCTCAGCCCCGCATCCAGTGAAACAAGCAGCAAAGGAGGAGCCAATGAATACTAGTAGTGCATATTATCGAAGGTATCATTGAATGCACATTCACTACATAACTAAATCATTGTGGGGCTATGTTCACGGAGCTTGCCTGCACTAGATCGGAAAGGTTCTGAAAAGATCAGTTAATCCAATATGCCCTGGTTCGCATATAAGGGCATCATCTTCGCACTGTCTTGTTAGAAAAATCCTAAACACAATCAAGTTTGTCTTTCCTTCCCACATTGTCAAGTCATTATAGGCCGTTGCACACCATGCATGATTACCGAGCAACGGAAAAAGAATACCGAGAGACTACGCCCAAGTGTATCGGAGAGTCGTTTGTGCGAGTAGCAAACCTACGAGATAAATGAGCTCTCTTCTCTTTGCATGGATAAAAAAATCATGTTGGCTTATGTTTGGTCCGGTTTGAGCTGTAAGCTGTCGACCTTCATTCGTGACATTGAATGTTGGAGCAGATAGATTGCGACCGTTACGTTTTCTTGGGTACAATTACAGGATATAGTCTATGTGAAGAACGTTCTTACATATAACCATTTACCAGGTCTGAAGTCCATACTCTATCATCTCAGCCCTTTGGTTGTGCGACGATCCATAATTGTAAACTCCGTAATTAAAGTAATGCAGGAGACCCAGTAGCAATAAGTTCCACAATTTCTGCAGAATTAAAGATCCATTGTAGAGGCAAAGGGTCATCCAGGCTATGGCGGTCCATATCCGCTGTCGCTGCGGATTCCCACTCTTCTTTAGTTACAGCATTCCACAACGGCGTATTCCTGGGTGGTGGAAACTGTAAATCGCATGCACGGATCCTCCCGTCTAAGTAACCCGTTCTATCCTCCCCCTTGCCTGAGATACTAAACGCTCCACTGACTTTGAATAAAGCAAGATCGAACCTCTTTACCTCCTCAACACTTACCCATGTATATCCAGGCAGAATACTGTTGCAATGATGCCGCAGTATGTTTGGGTAGTAAAACATTCCTAGCTTCTTGCAGCTTATGATAAGCCTTTGTAGGAGGTCAGCATCTGCAGGAGCAAGGGAAGGCTTCAGGTCAAGGTCGAGCTCCCCACCGCCCCGATATAAAGCGGCGAATATTAGATGGAGCAGGATTGCCTGATATGTGGCGATGGGCCATTTACAAGTACTCCTTGCATCTGCTACAGAGGCATCCCATGCCTCCTGTTGACTTCGACGTTAGCTGGCAGAGTTATAGTCAGACCAGGGCTTCCTACGTACAGTCTGCTGACGTATGGCTGAGCCCAAGACATTGTGCAGGTCAATGGCTTTCGCCTGGGCTTTTCGTTCCTTGCTCAACCACAGACCGAGAACAAGCATTGACTTGATCAATAATGGTGCTTCATGATCACTGAAAGATCCTCGATGAACAAAAGGCCACCGAGGATGAAATGTGTTGAAATATATGCTTATAAAGTGTTTTTCCTGATCAGGGTTGTCTTTCGCAGGTCGGATAGGAGGTGATTGAGACATCCTTGCAATGACACGCCGGTGATCAACCTGCTGTGCTCCCACTCGCCGTTCAAGGGAACAGTGCATCCCGCGGCGCAAGCAATTGTTACATGGAGGTCCTCCTTGGCATCGAGACTTTTGCTTTCGGCAGTGGGCGCACGCGTGTTTGATGTCGGGCATGTCGTTCACTCCATGTATATTTTGCATATGTCGCCGTAACGTATCACTGAATTGCAGAATTAACAATATTTCCCCAATTAAATATTGAAAGGCGAGAGTCCATTTGTACCTTCGCCTAAATTTCTGGGTACAAGCTGGACATTGTCGAAGCTGTTCTTGGGTATGTTGCGCCTCGTGGCGACGAAGATGTTCTTTCCGCTGATAGCTTGCCTTGCAATGAGGCACTTGGCACCAGTATAACTTAGGAGGCATGCTGCTATTTTGACTGGGGACTTCAGAGAGTAAAGGGTGTACAACGACGGAGTTGAGGGGACTGCTTCCTCTCTTTCGGGCCCACACATAATGGCACGATTAGTCAGTGTGTGTCCGAAAAGGTTAGAACCGCCTTGTCGAACCCTGGATTTCCCCCAAGAACCACTCAGTGAATCTTATCAATACTATTTCAATGCGTGCTTTTTGAGTCTGCTGCCAGTTGCGTTGTGCCGGTCGTAGATACTTTATTTTCGGAGATAGAAAACGCTCGGGGACCACAGACACTACAGTTGTATGCGTCTATTCCAGGCTGCCACAGGTTCATTTATCCGTTCCTGCTGCGTTGGTTAATACGAGGATATAATGTCCACCCATTTGGACTCATAATTGAAACACATCAACAGTGTATCTTGAAAATGACTAATGTCAGTCTAGATTTGTGAGAAGGGAAAGTTCGAGCCCCGTCTGGCTACTAGTAGGCAGAGGACACACAGCAGCTTCTGGTATTGTTGGATGTTATCCACATTTATGCACTCTATTTCATGCCTAGTGGCCAAAGAGAAGAAAGATGATTAATTCCGAAGTACTAGTCCTTGAGTCTGGGTACACATGCACGGGGTGGGAGCTCCGACATTTCGGCCCTCCCACCTCCGGAGCCTCCACCCGATTCAAAGATCATTTCGAAGGGATGCTCACAATTAAACTTCCTAATTTCTAATCGTAATAGTAATCAATATGATATAATGCAATGACTTCGAAATATAAATACCCTGAATATGATCCTCGTAGCTATCTTTCAAACGATATTATCCTTCCACACAACTCTCACTTAGCTACCAGCATGGCTCCAACTATCCTCATCGTCGGCGCAACAGGAAATACCGGTCGAGCCGTGACAGAAACTCTCCCAAACCTTCTGAAAGATAATCAGGCTTTTAGGAGCCATCGAGTACTCGCCCTGACCAGATCCCTCAACAGCTCCTCGGCCCAACGGCTTGCAAAAATCCCCGGTGTCGAAATTATCGAGCAGAACTGGACCGAGATTACCTCGGACTGGCTGCGAGAAAATGAAGTCGTCAGGGCCTTCATCGCCTCTCACAACGCACCAAACCAGTTTGCCGAAGAGTCTGCCTTCCACGTCGCCGCCCTTGGAGCTGGTGTCGAATACGTTGTGCGTATCTCCACCTCCGCACCGAATGTTCGTCCCGATTGTGCTGCCTACTATCCGCGCACACACTGGGCTATTGAGACGATGCTTGGCTCGGCAGAATTCAGCGCCCTGAAATGGACTTCCCTTCAGCCAAACGTGTTTACAAGCTCCTTAATGGCTTTTACCGTTGAGTATATCAAGGAGTTTAAGCGGAATGGCGAACTAGGTCCTCTGAAGTTGATGGTATCCAAAGATGCCCCTGTTGCGCCTATAGACCCGGATGAAGTAGGTGTATTTGCTGCGCATCTCTTGGCCTTGGATGATCCAAGCCCACACAACTGGGTGAAATATGTCTTGAATGGACCGGAAGATATCACTGGCGAACAGCTTGTCGGCTTAGTGGAGCAGCATATTGGCACAAAGGTGAAGGAGGTGACCTATGAAGATCTCAGCCTTTTGGATGCAATACTGGAAAGTCAATATGAAGTATCGGGTCAATCCATGACCGTGATCAAGTCAATTAACTATGCTCTGTTAACCGTGTGGGAAGGGAAGTGCAATGCTTCGACTACTAGCAAGGAGGTCCTGGCCATTGCTCCTCCGAGGCGGACCCCTGCCGAGGTGTTGGAGGGTTTGCTAGAGGCTTAAGATCCAAGGGTGACTTCTCAACCCCTGAAGCGCTATGATCGCAAACGTCATAGATATTTGGGTTTAATTAAATACAAATAGCATCATATTCTCATAGGCGTCATAAAGCCAAACAGAGTACCATAGATGGACATCTTCCTCCATGCATTCTAATCCCGTTACCACACGCTTCGCTCGAACGTAATACAACAAACCCATCATGACCATTTACCTACTCAACAACAATCATCTCGGCAAGAATACTATTCAAGAAGTCCCTCTGCTCCTCCACCCACTTCCTTGTCTCCTCCACATTAAACGGCCGTCCAGTAAGACCCCTCTCCCTCTCCCTCTTGCGCTGTGCCCGCATTCTCTCCTCAAGGACCTCCATGCGGTATTCTAAATACTGGGGATACATCTCCTCCAGATTGCTGATTGCCCGAGTACCAGTGAGCAGAATCTCATCGCGCACCTCTGCGTCCTTAGGCCGGAACGGCGTCACCATCGTGATTCTCTCCCGGCCGCCAAGGGCCTTCAGAGCCTGGTGCTCGAGATACCGACCCTGCATGACAACCGCGTAGCCCTGCGCGGGACCACGGACCTTCTTGATGGTGCCGTTTGGGAGCTTGATAGCTGTTTCTCCGCCGACCATGGAGGTGCAGTCGGAAAGCATGACTACACAGACGAAGGGGAACGAGTCGTAGTGCCAAGCGAATGCCGGGGCATTTTCATCTCCGGGGGGTTTGGTAGAGGAGTTGCTGGCTTGGGACGAAGGTGGTTCGTCGTCCTTGATGGCGACGTTGATGTTTGCGATTTCGTAGTCGAACGCTGGGATTAGGTCGATGCCGGCGATGGCGGAGATTTTGGACAGGACTTCGGGGGATTTCCAAACGTCGTAGGTGAAGGGGGCTCGCCTAGTTATGATTATTAGTCCAATGCGATAGGGCTAGGTTGTTCTGAAATGTGTAGTCTTACTTGTGTCCCATGCCCCTAACCATGCTTGCGCAGAAATCGCTTGCATACTGACAATCCTTCAGCACAGGCTCGCTGAAGATCTCAGCGCGCATTTGGCTGATTGCATCGTCCGTGAACAGGCGGAAAGGCTCGGAGATAGCGTTGGGAGAGATGCCCGCTTTCTCGAGGCCGAAGTCAGCCATCTTGTGGATCTTCTCTGGGGGTTGGAAGACGATGTGCTCGCTTGGGTCGAAGGTGCGCTTCTGGGGGACCTTAGCGCCTTCGATGAGGGATTGAGGGAGCTTCTTGGTGGGGCGTGTTGCCTTCTTGGTCTTGGGCCCGGAAACCGGGGGTGGGGTGTAGGTTGAGACGAGGGCTGCTGGGGCCATTGTGTTGTCTGTAAATTGATATGATCTCATTTTATGTGTAGAGAGAGTTAGACGATGAATGGGACTGTTAATTCAAGTGCGACTGATTCTGTTGAGTTATAGAATTGTCTCTGACTGCGATCTCATCTCGATACTTATAGATCAAATGAAGCCTTGAATTGCCAAGTCCGGGGTATGCTGAGCGGAGTGCTTAGGACCCGAGCCGTCATGGGAAGCATAACATGCATCTGCTCTAGCGCCAGATAGGAGATAGCATTTTCCAGAGAACCAATGAACGTACACTACCTGAACGCTAATACCGACATCCGCTAATGGTGTCGGGAGGCAATCATGATTCTATAATCAAAGACCTGCACGTCTTGCATCCCGATAATGCCGGCTGATCAATCGGAACAGCAAACCGGAATCCAGCTGATTATCCCTCCCAAAATCGGCTCGGATCTAGACTCATGAGCCGGACTGGCTTGGCCAATGGATTTCTATACAGGATAGATTTTCCAAATGGAGCAAAGAACCACAAGAAGACACAGACCGTGACGAAAGGATAGAGGCAAGTCTTGCAGCTGCCTTGCCTATCATCTTCAGAGTCCTCCCTACTTCTTCTGTTCTCATGATCCATGCCAGTGGGATAGCGCGCCATAGATTGATAGGGACGCACGACGCCGATGCGCGAAGGAAATAGGTGGCATGCCGCAGTTGCCCCGAGTCAAGTTCGATAGCTATTTAGTGGTAGGAGGATTGACAACAAAGATCAAGATCACGGAAAGATAGGACCAGCGGTACAGGCTTTATTGATAGCGGGCCGAGATACCGCGTTGTTCTCCCGACGCGGGGGCCATCAACGAGTGTAGACCGTCGTAGCATTTCCAATTGCAAACAGTGCAAGCATTGCCCCATTAGTCTGTCAGTCCACTGTATTGATCCGCATATACCCTCGGGAACTGAGACCTAGCGCATTCTGTAGAAACCACCAGCTCCAGCATAGGCACATTCCCTCAATCTTGTTCAGATACAATGAGTGTCAGCTGCAAAATCTTACATCTCCGGATGTATCTAAGATCGCTCATCATCTGTTCAATGCAGCCATTTGTTCTTACTACCACAACAACCATTCTTTATCACTCAAAGCCCCCTCCACCAAGAAATCCTGGAGCACCACAATAATGATCCTCATCAGCAACCCCAGCACCGAACATATACTGTTCATTACCCTTGAATACAGCAGTAGCTGTGCCCTGAAAAGCCTATATCCCTTCAATTGTAGTCCTCCTCACATCGACCCTCAGAGCAATAAAAAGATATTTATTAGTAGGCTTTATTGCAAACAGACAAGTATGAATATCAATTCAACTTTTGTAGGGGTACCAATTGTATCCAACAACTGACAAATATTAGGCTAACGGTATTCACAGGGGCCAATGAGCTTCAAAGTCATTTAAGAGTTGGGATCAATGTGGTAGCTACTCGGCCGAATTGGCACCAGGCAGGAAGATGTGCAGCGAGTGGACAGAACCATACTTCGTTTATCTTTTCAGGTAGTGCCTGTTGAATCTTGTAAGCCTTCTTCTGGTCTGATAGCTTCTAATCTAGTAAAGTAGATTGATAACCAGCGCTCTTCCTTCTTTTAATGCTAGTCCATCCAAGTTATCTTCCATTCCTCATATGAACTCTAACAATGGGAGCTTACTTGACATAAGCAGAAAGGAAGCAACTGTTCACTAAACCGCATTATTCCTTAACACCCCGCTAGGCTCCAAACACAGACTTACATAACATCGCCTCATTCCCCATCACAGCTTGTGACCTGACACATCTGCCTCCTCGCTTCCCCTGATAGAACTCGTAAATATTCATCGGAAGTGTGGATGTGGATTATGCGAGATAGTCCGGGTCTAACTTCAAACAACCAATGATGATTCAGATGTCTCGGGTGGTGGTTGTCACGGCTCGGGTTCGTCGGTATTATCTAGAAACCGATGTCAAGTCTCGGGTTTGGAACCCGACGCGGCTGCTAGCCACACCTCCAGCTCTACCCCACGATATACACCAATGAAATAATTGAAGTTGATGTATACAGACCGGCAACGTAATAACTGCGCTGTATAATGTCTTAAGGAGTCATGGCTGTCTGTGGACGAATGGCGAATAAAATGATAGGGTTAGAGTTCATCACTCAGTCGCTGGCAGTGACGGTGGGGAGGCCATTATCTCGGTTGCTGCGGCCCGTCGGATGGGGAACCCGATCGGTGGAGTCGCGAACGCGAGGTATTCCATAGCTGGAATGCTCCATTCGGATTGTGCGGGTTGATTGTCGCTTCTATTGCAACTACAGCCGTCAGACTGAATTGGACACCAATGTCCGAAGGTCTACTGGTATCTGTATTGAAATCCATGCAGAGACATACACTGGCACTAGAGGTAGCACTGTATGGGTATATCCTTCAAAATCGCTTCGGCCACGAGAGATATAGATGAACCTATGGGGGGATATAATCTATAAATAGACACAAAATCGGCTTAAAGATGATGGAAACGTCTTTCTGGCAGTTTCTTATCGTAGCGACCTACATGGATCCATCCCATGGTGGCGCACCCGCATCCAAAACACTGCACCCCTCTGTCTGCCCAATCTGATTTACCAACGAGAAGAACTCGTAAGAGGAAATTCCAATACTATCTAAAAAGCCGAGGCTAGAAGCTTGAGCCAGAACAGATGGGGACCCTGGTACCGAGTTCAAAGGCACTGAACAAACTGCCAGATCTGCCGAGACTTGAGGACGGTCGACACGTCCCGCCATCATGAATTCGGAGCCCAGCTCGGAGGGCGGTGGCACCGCCGCTGAAGATGTGGGCAGGGTGAGTGTCTCAAGTCCCCGCCGTTCGATGCGCTCTGCGACTTCCTGGAAAAGCATTTCAAGCTGTACAAGTTCAGACTTTCGCGCTGCTGCGAGCTTGTTCCCACGCTGGATCATTTGGTCGAGGATCAAGTAAATATCGTTCATGCAGTTTTCATTTTCGCCTTCGGTGACGTTGGGAAAGACAGCTTTGGCCATGGCGATGTGCATTGCTGCTCCGTAGGTGAACTCCATGTCGAAGGGGAGGAAGACGTCTAGGTTTAGTGCATTAGAACAATTGAACTTCATGGTCTGCGTGAACTGCTGTAGAGAAGCCCGAACCCACCGAGTAGATTGTCTTCGTCCTTCAATATCTGCAGCGTTTTGATTGCCGACTTGATGCCTGCCGAGATCAAACCATCAGTCGGGGCCACAATGCTCTGCCAGTCTTCCGGTCCGTGACCTATTCGGTCTAATCGCTCTTTAAGCACTGATAGCAACAGTGGGCGCGTAGCCACTATTACGCACTGTAATTCGGATTTTATCAGTGCAATGTACTCTTGGTGGTTGTGAAGGGAAACAGACCTGGTGATATAGCAGCGTAACGTGCCTTGTTCCCTTCGACATGACATCCACTGAGTTCTGGAATTTCACTTCCATGATATTCTCAATGTCTTGGGCTTGACTGGCAAGGACTTGTAAGATCGATCGTGTGGTTTCGAGGAACGTCCCCAGCTGAGTTTGACTACATTTGTATATAGCTTTCAGATGTCAGCCGGCTCAGTCCTATTCAGCTTCTCTTCTGGGAGAGGCATATCATACTTGACAGAATATATGATAGAAGATGCGACAGCCTCACCAGAAGACCAAGCGTAGCATTGCTCTGCGTTGTTGTCCCGGGTGGGTCAAGCAGGGTGGTGATATCGCCATCCTGGAGTGTCATGGACGCACCGACTGATGACGATATATGACGGTCCAAAATGTATAGCGTCCACCAAAGATCCCTCGACCGGGCGACAGTTTCTGCTCCAAGCTCGTCTTCAGGCAGTTGCGTATGCATACCGTCCATCTGTGCAATGCGGATGGCGTGTCCTACCTGATGGAAAGCTATTAGCATGAGAGTGGGGGAGAACAGTACTATATGATCGGGTAACCGGGTAGATTCACATAAGAGTATGCTGAAGACCGGTGATCGATACAATAAAGATACAACCCTGTCAATGCGAGAACTTCAATGGCCACAAATCCGCTGCGGGATAACGTTGTCGGATCGGGCATCAGTCTCATAGCCCTCACGAAGAACTTAGCCCCGGGTGGCTCTTTATTGTCGCTACTTGAACGATAGCCCACTGGCAACAAGAATGCATTCCCAAATGCAAGAACTAGTAGAAACTGAACGAACCATAGCCGATTATTACTTGCTTCCTTTGCTGCGTCTCCATGGTAGAACTCCTTGGTGTGGTGTAAAAAGTTGGCTTCATCGAGTAGACGGAAGTTATGTCCCAGATGGAATTTGACGGTATTAAACAGGTAGAGTGCGTAGTCCATTGAAGGAAGGTTGCTGACATCAGGGTGCTCATTCACCGGAAGGGGGTTCCAGTGGATTGGGTAGAGGTCACCATCGAATAGATCTGGTCCGCTGCAGTGCGATACAATCTGGAGCTTCTCTGTAATCATGAGTTTCAACCGCGCTGTGAACGATCAAGTTGAGGTAGGAGCAAGCCAAGCTAGTATTTTCACTGTGTTAGCTAGCTCCAAGAAGGGATCAGTATTGGCGACGACGTACTCCAATTTCGCTTGGTGCTATCGTTCTTCTTTATCACTCGCGATGGGAGCGTGAATGGGCTAGTCCATATCGTCCTTGCTGTGAACAGCTGCGTCAGATTATCTGCAGACGGCGACGCTTTGAAGTTTGCAAGGGTTAGTCAAGTAGGATTGAAAGTGCATTAGCATCTGAGACCTCGTTTGGCATCGTACCATCAATATCTGCATCCGATCCGAATGCCGATGCTGAGGTCCGCTTAACCGACTGTCGGTCCGGCTGGATCTCCGTATCCTGCCCTTGGCTTTTGCGAGCTCTATTTTGCAGTTCTCGGAGATATCTATCCATCCTCACGGCCCGATTGTCAGTTTTATATGTCGCATGTTCCAACATAGGATAACCTACGAACCTCTCAGTAACAATGACTTTATTCACGCCTTCTACAAAACGACACTCGACACGCCTGCGCTGACAGTTGGCGCATGGCTCTTCACCCGTGCACTTGATTTTGCTGGTACGGCACGCGATGCATCTGTTTTATTGTGATATCAGGTTTAGCGACAAGGACGAATTCCGGCCAACTTGCAGGGGCAAATAGGACAAGCCTTACGCGTTTGACGTCCGCTTTAGCTTCCGTGAGGTATTCCGGACATCTGCCATCTTCTGAAGAGCCTCAAGCGCGAATGAGGGAATGGATCATACGATTCAGACATCTGGAAAGTGCTGACATCGAGAGGTAGACCTTGATGATTATGGGCTATCGTCAGCTGGTACCAACTCGAGAACTCGCTTGCTGAGCTGTGCTTAACCCCGCACTGGTCAAGATCGCGGGGAAAGTGTTGCTTGTTTCGGTTAAGACACCCCTGGTTGAATTGAGCTCAGAATCGTGGAGAGAACCAAGTTGGGTTCTGGTTCATTAGGTGCCAGACAAGATACGAGGGCTCTGACAGAATATGGAAAGCCCCTGTCTTATCTATCGATCGCATTGATGTGCGACTGTGTATTCTACATCTACCGTAGCCATAGGGTTAGGGAGGATTTCACCCTGCGGATAGATAACCATGATAGGACCCCACTAGTTGTCGCTTGGGAGGTGCCTAAGACCTCAGACAATTTACTAGGAGCTTAGTGCACATACCAAACTATGTCTCACCTCTCCCCCGATGCGTCTTGGGGGTATGTACCGTGACGCGTGACAAGCTGGCAAGCTGGATCCTCGGCTCGGATCGGGTCGAAACACCCGAGATGAGTCTGGGTTCCGAGACAAGAGACAGACAGTAGTATCGTCTCCAACTGAACCACCACCATAGAGCCTTAAAGGAAGCTCAAGTACCTAAATATTGAATTGTAGTTACCAGAAAATACACATGATTTGTCAGTCCTATCTTCGTATCACCTGAAAGTCCCCTCAGGATATTCATTTTTTCCCGTTTACCTCTCTATCATCGCTGCCATGTTCGACCTCATCGTTGTAGGCGCCGGTTTCTCCGGCCTGCAAGCTGCTATTATAGCTCAACAAGCTGGGCTTTCAGTCGTCGTCCTGGAAGCACGCGATCGCATTGGCGGGAAGATCTGGAGTGTCCCGCTTGCCTCTGGTCGTGGGTACGCTGACTTGGGTGGTGCTTGGATCAATATCAACCTACAAAAGCGGGTAGGCGCATACATAAAGAAGTTTGGTCTGAAGACTGTAGAGCAGCGACTGGACGGAAGGGCGATTATGCAGGAAGCTGCGAACGATAGGTTCGAGTTTCCGTTCGGGGTCACTCCATCTGATGTTAGTGTGCTTTTGGTTAACCCCGCCGGAGCCGCATACTCCAAAATGACAATAATTAGCTGATATATTCTCTGTTGCTATCGCCTATAGTGGACCACGGAAGAAAAGGAGAATCTGGCAAAGATTCGCGATCACATTCAAGCCGAGTCGCTGAAACCTGGCCCTCCTCGGGCTGATGATGACAACGTCACCCTCGAGCAATACATTCGTAATCTCGGAGCGGGGCCGAAGACAGTCAAAATGGTAAATCTTTGGGCGCGGGTTATGCATGGGCTCGAATCGTCCGAGTACTCCGCTGCTTGGTTCATCGATTACTGCCGCTGCAACCACGGTCTTTTGGCTATCCGTGCGGATGACTCGAGCGGCGGGCAGCATCTGCGGTTCAGAGATGGTGAATAAACCCAACTTGTCCCTGTAAATCTTAATTTTTACGAGACAGCGAAGTGCTCACATACTTACACTATCTAGGCTCTCAATCCCTTGCAAACGCCCTCGCATCCCTCGTCGGCCCCTCCAACATCCACCTCTCGTCCCCGATCGCCACAATCGAGGATCTACCCACCCACACGATTGTAACAACAACATCTGGCAAGTCCTTCGCAGCGCGCAAATGTATTCTCTCTATCCCCAGCACCATGTACAAAGAGCTCAACGTCCAACCTCCTCTCCCGCCCCGAGTTCAAGAAGTCACCAACGCCACCGTGCTGGGCGATTACAACAAAGCCATTGTCTGCTACGATCGACCCTGGTGGCGCGATAGCGGTTACAACGGCTACTTCGCCTCGTATAGTGGTCCGGTAATTCTGGCTAGAGACACCTCTGTCGATGAAGTCCGTCATTATTCGTTGACGTGCTTTATCAACGGAAACGAGGGGAGGAAGTGGGGCAAGCTTATACCACACGAGCGTAGAGCGGTGGTGATTAAGCAGTTGGCTAAGGTATTCAACGCTGGTGACAACAATGATCACGAGGTGTACAAGCCCATTGAAGTTTTTGACCAGGTCTGGCAGCATGAGAGGTATAGTCGTGGGGCGCTGGCGCCGATCACCGCACTGGGCCATATGACGCGGTTCGCGGATGTCTATGGCAAGCCTGTGGGTAATTTGCATTTTGTTGGAACTGAGTATAGCAATGAATGGAGGGGGTATATGGAGGGTGCGCTGTGTTCGGGTGAGGTTGGGGCAGCGGAGGTTATCAAGGCCTTGAGTGGAAGGGGAAGGGCAAATCTGTGATTTATTTCTATATTGGGCAGGGCGATGTGATCAACCATCGTTTCGTGTCTTTGGGTGACCTTGTAAATATGTCAGAGAAGGTATCTTGAGTACCACAACCTTGCATAGGATGCACAGGTCTGCTCAACTGACTATGTGAAGCGCAACATAACAAATGTCTGTTGAGGTGGATTAAGGGGGTTATTACCTAGCCGTATCCATTGGCGTCCAGCTGTGATCGTATTGTGACTTATACTTAATCGCGGTATACTGCCAATTTCTTTAATGCTATTTCGTACTATGCAACCTTTCGAAGCACTTGCGACCAAGCTTCATTTGGGGCTACAGTATCGTTCAATACTCTCATGACCAGGGGAATATATTTGCTGTCCATGGCCTCCAAGCACTTGCTGGAGACTCATCTGCTGTTGGCGGCGAAGAACATCGTCATCACACCTCATCTCAGTGAAAATCCAACCCAGTTTAGCCTGAGAGTAGTGCGCATACTGGCTGGTAAGTTCAAGCGCCGGGTGGGAGGTAAGCTTTAGGTGAATGTTGTAAATAGCTCCCTAGGCTGCCATAAAATTCACGATGTGAAGCTATATGGGTCGGTCATCAAGGCGGCAAATTCCATAGAAAATCTAGATCCGTGTCGATAGGATCGGGCAAGACGCCCAGGTCGCCAAGGAATTCCCCAAAAGGAGCCATGGAAGTGTCGAAGGGAAGGGAGAGCCATTGGTCATCGCTGAAAAGGTCTCGACCTTCTTCAGGACTCGATGTTTGTATATGAAAGCCGACGTTCTTGTCTGTTATCGGTAAGGGGGCCTCTGGATTCACATCTTCCATATAATCCTGCCTGTTGGGGCTCCTGATCTGCTCCTCTCCAGGATCACTGCAAACATAGGATGCATCAAGGAGGGATTTCCGGAGACGGGCCACCACGATTACCAGGAGCTTGGCATAGCGGCCACCTAAGTGAAGCTCGTCCTCGGCTAATACCTCCTGTAACCCTTCGATTGTGGACTCTAGTGTTCTGAGAGCTGAAATAAGTCGCACCCGGGGTGTCCCTAACGCCAAACCCTTTAGAAGAAAAACTGAGCTACTGGCCATCCGGAAAAATATACGAACGGGCATATAGCGCAAAAGCCCACTATGGCTCAGTGTGGATATTTTGGCGAGGATCTGGGTACACCCGTCGATTACGGCATCGGTATATCCGCATGGAGAACTGATGTCTCGCGGAGAGTTGAGGGCGAGCCTCTCCTGCATGCCGATGGAGTTTAGTATGGTATAGACATGCTGGTAATCAATGAAAAGGGTGTTGCTGAAGCTTGTCTGTTTTACTACAGGAACCTTAGTACATCTCGCGCTAGCTGGAATCACTGATGACGATCGCGGAGTAAACAAACCAACATACCGGTGATTGACTCATAGATGGATCTCCATTCGGAAAGCTCCTCACTTTTCGCATCAATCAGAGACCTGATCGAAGCACCAGGTCTAGCCTCTTTCAAGATGGCGGTATAGGTAGACGTTATAGACCTGAAGATCTGCATGAGCCTTACCCACAACCGCATCGGCACCCACCATTCGTCATCCGCACATAGGAGAACACTCGGCGAGTTGGGGTCCAAAGAGATGAGCGAGTCACACCCAATCCGTGCGGATACCATGTCTGAATAGACCAACAGCAGAGAAGGAAGTCGTTTTCGCCTCAGTTCCAGGGTCTCGTGATATACTTTGCTGTCTGATCGAGTCTGCGTCTGGACTGGCACCAACGTAACTTCATCCCTGAACACCCCCAACTCATGGGCAAGGGCGACGGCTGCACTGAGGATCATCCAGGACATACGCTCGAGACGCTTGGTCGGCTCAATGACTTCTTGTTGCCACTGAAGCGAGACAGAAAGCTCATGCTCGCTCTCCAGCTGCGGGTCGCGCACGTCCGGGTTCGTCATAATCAAGTCCGAATCCCAACCATCGCTCTCTGGAGGGAAGTGTAACGACTTGGGGTACCATTCACAGAGCAGCAGCAATGCCTCTATCGTACCTAGGGTTCGTGTCTTGGCCTTGGAGAATTTTTCCTGCCCAAGCATGACTCGGAGCAAGAGGTGCTGGCAGTGTTGACTAAGACGGTGATGGATAAACGAGGATCGTACTCTCCCGGCGCGACCGGGAAGAATGTAATAACGTGAGGCGAGAAGGAGGATGGTACAGCAAAGGAAGGGTTCTTGTGTAACAAGCCAGAAATGATTCGCGGGAGTAGCATAGAAATCGGTCAGTATTGGCGAAAGCGGGCTGAGGTGAGTGAAAAACCTGCCCATTATTCATTTGTGAGAATACAGAAGCTTGTTGAGAGGGCGACATAGTTACCATTCTAAGAGAGAAACGGCCTCTTGGGCTGTAAACCACCCCATTCGAACAAAACGGCATGCATTCCACACACGGAGAGCGTCTCGGTAACTATACACCTCATTGCTGTCACTGTGAAGTCTCGACGACAGGGGTATGGCGACTTCGGTGGGACGTTTTGACGGGGCCGCTGCTTTGAATAACAATCTCATGGCATCCTGTTCGTTGGAGACCACTGTTTCCATCATTGACTGAGAGAACTCCTTTCCTCTAGTCAACCGCCGTTGTTCTGGGTCGATATCTTGCTCTAAGCTGTCTTTCCTTCGGGCCTCATTTTCGCTATTCAGGTTAGTGACTGCTTACAGAGAATAACTTTGAAGATGGGACCCACATTGGGCTTCGTGAACCGTCGAAGTCATGGATCTCTCTCATTCTTAGTGCTGAATCAGGTTCAGCATCCGGGGTGACGGGCGGTGAATATGTATCCAGGTTATTCCCATTAGGAGTGCTTCGCGACCATGGTCGCTTGCTACTAGACATGCACCGGATACCCTTCTTTTCGCACCTCTCGCAGGCGATTGCATTGTCACTGCGCTTGCATTTAGTTTTGCGTCTTGCACAAGGGATGCAGGCCTGATATGCTCTCTGATACTGGTATTGGCTTACTGCTCGGCTGCGGGATGGCCTGGTGGGTTTGCGTTCCATGATGCCAGGGTAAGAGAGGATGTTGAAGAGGAGAAGGGAAGCCGCAGGTCGGCAATTGCCAAATACCCGATACTTTGATATTGCACTAAACCTAATTTCGGGTGTACTTGCCCCACGTCACTCAAAATCATTAGGTGCATACTAGTTACAGTGACTGAGATTAACTAGGTGATATAGCGAAAATTAGGATCATCATCTCCAGCTTCCGTCACATCAATAGCATGTTCCTCACTGACGCGACCATGCACTCGGTTCCGTCGAGCATTTTCGAGCCTGAGTTTGCAGTGTAGCACGGCGCCAAGAATCACCACTAAGCCAGTCAAGCCTGCGCCCGCAGCACACCCACGCGTATAGTTGGGTGCATCAGTGGCCGGAAATAAAGAGCTGCTGACGAAGCTCGAGCACTGCCCGAATATCGCTAACACTGCCATACCGGCGCCTCGTTTACTGTCGCCACCCTGGTTATTCAGTAACCAGGTAATGTTGATCGCGAGAGACGGGAACACTCCACATGTTGCTAACCAGATACCTGCATACCGTACCCCATCTGCGCTAGCATCGTGTACACAGGCCAGCATCAAGTAGCCAACCAAGCCTATTGTCGAGAACCCTACCACTACTAAGCCTCGGTTATCCAACCGGTCTGATAGGAAGGCGGCTGCCAGGCAGCAGATGAAAGATCCCAGATAGGGAGGGGCTGTGAGGCCCTGAGCGTGGACGGAGACGTAGCCCATATCTTCAATGAGAGTGGGCAGGAAGTTGGACAGACCCGCAAAGGAATAATTGCAACAGAAATGTATGATCATGTGCACGTAGTTCTTATAGTCCAGGAGACCACTCCGGATTTGCTTCCAATGCACGCGGTCTTTGGCCGTGCGGTCTTGCGTTGTCAAGCGCCCAACTGCATCTGCTTGTTGCTGCTCATCCAAAAACCGGGCCGACCCGGGGCTATCCGGGAGGAAGAAAAACACGACGACGGAGATTATGACGGTAGGCGCCCCTTCTGCATTCAAGGGTTATCTTCAAACATTCATGTGGACGGTCCAGAGAGACGGATGGGACTCACCAATCAGAAAGAGATACTGCCATGGCTCAAGTCCATTCCGAATTTGAGTAATGCCATATGCCAGTGCAGAGGCAAAGCAATTCGCGATGGGAGACATTCCTAGAAGTACCGACACGCGGAGCCCCAGCTCATGTCGTTGGTAGAACAGGGAAAGGAAATAAGGTGCCCCAGCGCCGAAGCTAGCTTCGAACACACCCAACAGGCACCGACACACAATAAGCTCACCAAGGTTGTGGACTGCTCCACTACACATGGCAGCAGCACCCCAGCTGTATTCAGACAATACTTTAGCTTCTGTTGTATAACCATGTTACGCTTATGGAGACTGCTCACCAAATGCACAAAACTGCCACATAAAAATGCGCGGGAAATAGTCTCCACAGAAGGTTTGTCCACTCAAAGACAGTATAGCATAGATAGAAGCTGTTCAGGACCCAAGACCAGTCCGAATCATTGAGATGTAGACTCTTTTGGAGCCCGGCAATCTTTGCGTTGCCGATGTTGCCTTCAAGACGGCATGAGCAATGCTGAGACGGAACGAAGACATGTACACTTACCGCGGTCCAAGTATGACAAAATATACAAGACGCAAAGGAGCGGCAATAGACGTCGGTCAAACTTTCTGGGACTGAGCTTCACTCAATTTATATCACATAGAAGGGATAGCTTACCTTCTGAACGATTGACTTTTGTCGTTCTGCACTGACATGGACCCGTTGAAGCGAATTGTTTATGCAATCTGGATCCACCCCCTCAATGTGCTGACTATCTGGATCATCGATAGGTTTAAAGACTTGACTCATACTGGTGAGGTTATTCCTTAAAGATAGGAATGTTTGTAGTTCCTCAACCGCAAAATCCATGTTGCGCTGAATGGCCCTTTTTATAGGACCACAGTGCTATACTCCAATGCAGAAAGAGAGCCTGCATGGCCTTCCCCGCAATCTGGAGCCAACCAGGTCAATAGATCGCATTTCCCCACGGGGTTCATGCATCGAAACATGTAAATGATACTCTTATTCTCTACTGCCGACAGCGCGGAGCGGGGTCGCGGATATTGCCAAATACCCGAAACTCGAAATATCCGCAAGGAATCGAGGGTTTCATAAAACGTCAAGTGAGCGCCCACGTTGTCCCAAGCCCAATTCTCTTACGACTGAAGTATTTTGACCTACTCTGTAAACGCCAAACCCAATCCTGAAAATGTCTACCAGCGAAGTGCCTTACCCTTTCCAATTCGACTCCCTGCGGACCCACGAACCAGGTGTTGGAACCCAGGATGGCACCACGCAGGATGTGACCGTTGAACTCCCTAATGTGCGCGGCAAAATTCCATCACTTCAGGCATCCCGTCTCCGTGCGATGATGCTCGAGGCACATAGGGACCCAAGCAAGATCCTTGCGCACGCATGCTCCTACGATGGTCTTTCCTCCCGCCTGGTAGAGGAGGCCGGGTTTCCCATGGTCTTCCTGGCCGGGTACGCGGTTGCCAGCTCCTACGGTCTCCCGGATACGGGGTACATTGCGATGGCTGAAATGTGCGACAAGATCCGCGATGCCGTCCGGCAGGTGTCAGTTCCGGTTATGGCGGATGGTGACACGGGGTATGGCAGTCCATTGAACGTCAAGCGGACAGTGGAGAGCTTTGCTGCTGCTGGTGCGGCTGGGGTTATGATTGAAGATCAGCAATGGCCTAAGAGTATGCTTGACTCTCTTTCTGTCCTTGTGTGACATACTAACCACTTTTAGGATGCGGCCACACGAAAGGCAAAAGCGTAGTATCGCGCGAGGAAGCCTTCGCTCGGATCAAAGCCGCCTGTGACGCCCGCAATCAAAATCTCGATATATGCATCTTGGCACGGACTGATGCACTTATCCACGGGTGGGACGAAGCCATATCCCGAGCACACGAGTTTCGCCGTCTAGGCGTCGATGCGGTCTTTGTTGAAGCTTTGCCGGACCGCGAAGCCATGACACGCTGCGTGCAAGAAGTAGGCATTCCAACCTTCGCAAATATCATCGAAGGCGGTAAGACCGAAAACCTATCGGCCAAGGACCTCGCGGAATTGGGGTTCTGCGCTGTGGCGTATCCGTGGACGTTGGTCGCCGCACATTTGCGGGGACTCCGCGAAGCCCTTGATGGGTTGAAGCGGAGCATGACGGTTGGAGCGCCGCCTATGATACTGACATATGACCAAGTGTGTAAAGGCGTTGGGTTTAATAAGTATTGGGTGAGTGCTATGGTTCAAGCTTTTCGCTCTAAGTGACTTGTGCTAAATGCTTATGATCACAGGAACTGGAGGAGAGATATAAATATGAGTGAGAATGGAAGACGGAATTTGGCAGTGATAAGATCATACTATATCAGGTCAAGGATGCATAAGTGTAGTTATCTTTCTTCCAAACTTCAAGCAATACAGGTGGTTGGTTCTGGGCTAATTCCTTGTGAAATTTGTTCTGAGCTATATATCCACTAAATGGAGTAGTATAAATCGATTTTATAAAGCCTAGTGGCAGGTCGTTTTTTAAATATGGGTAGGGTTATTTCGGGTATTGGAGTTACTTGTACAGGCTATGAATCTCTTCTAACTTTCACCTTCTGGGGGGTCGGAGTATATAACACACAAATCCATAGAAGCTGGACAAACTACCTTATCCTAATTAATATTGGGCTATCAGTACACGATGCAAGATGGCTAGGGATTTGAAAATACTATGATCAAAACGCAACTGTCCAATGGCGAACGCCAGAAAACCCACATTACTCTGGCTGTGTAGATTGAGCCAGGTTGCTATAGTAGCAAGGTATTGTTTGCACTGATATATCCAAGCAACTAAGGCCTAGTCATGAAAACTCATTTACGGTTTATCCTTACATCTCGATCCCGTAAATGCTGCGATAGTAAAATTTGCGAACCTTCGGGCATTTAGGTGACTGACAAGCCCCGAATAGCGGTTATTGCTCGTAGCATGGCTTTCGCAGCCAACGTTATGAACTATACGATGGTACTTGTCACAAGATGATAGTCACGAGATATCATATGTCAATAACCTCTCTTTCATTGTATCCTCATATGTTTCATTCTCACACGCCACGATAATATATATCATGATGCTTCCATTCCACTCGGAGAACCCATAGTAGGAATTGGACAGTATCGCCTTCTTCTCCAAGGCGACAGTGCGTATCTCTTTGGGTCTACTCGAATACTCCGGACACGATGTCAGGCAAGAAGCTGTTGAGAGGGCAGCGTTCCTCAAACGTGCACCCGTGCAATCTCGCAGCCTTGCTCAATGTGCTTTCACCCTCAAAGCTCGTGGCGTTGAAGATAGTAATGTCGCTCGGCGTGCGAATGCCCTTCAGCACTTGCGTCGGGAGAGGGGACTGTCCAGTAAGTACTGAGCTAGGAGGGACATTTCCTTCCCTTGAATTGATCCCACTTTGTCCACACCCAGTATAGTCCCAACTAATAGGTTAGGCCCCGAATACCTCAAGGCTCGTGATCTGGACTGAGTCCTCGCCACTGATCACCATTCTAACTTTCTAACTTGACCGGTGTCAACCCATCAACTGACCCAAGTGTCATCTTCGCATCCGGCGGCACCTGCATCGTCCAACCCGAGGTGACTCAGGGTCCTTACTGTATGTTCTCTGCGCTATTCCTTCTACTGAAACAAGAACCTTACAATGTACACTGCAGACATCGCCGGAGAGCTCAACCGTCGCAATGTGGCCGAGGACCAGGCCGGCGTGCCCTTGTTCATGGATATTCAGCTTATTGATACCAATACCTGCGAGCCTCTGCCTAACATCTACACGGACATTTGGCATTGCAACGCAACCATACGGACCTCCCCAAGTTCACTGTTCATCTCAGTTTGACCCCTAAGTCACTAACCTCTATGGCATTTTGCGGGAAACAGGGTGTCTGCTCCGGTGTAGTTGAGAGTGGTAACGGAAACGCCAACGACCCAGGCAACATCAACACGACCTTCCTACGCGGCGTCCAGTCCAGCGGAGACGACGGAGTCGTGCGTTTCGAATCAATCTTTCCCGGGCATTACGCTGGCCGAGCGGTTCACATTCATGGTACGTACACCTATACCCCTCCCCAATCGTTATTCTTCCTTTTACCTCTTTGCCGTTTTGAGAGGCTTCGAAACTAATAAATCTCAAATGCGTAGTCGTGACCCACCCCGCCAACGAAACGAAAATCCTCCCCATCGGCACCATAGCCGGCATGTACGACAGCCACTCCTCGCATGTGGGCCAGATTTTCTTCGACCAGGACATAATTACCGAGGTCGAGAAGAGGAGCCCCTACTCGACCAATACCCAGAGTCTGACTGAGAACGCCGACGACGACATTCTGCAAACGGAGGCAGACACGACTGACCCGCTCATGGAGTATGTTCTTCTAGGTGAGAGTGTCTCGGACGGTATCTTCGCTTGGATCTCGATCGGAGTGAATGCCAAGCGCGATGACTCGCTGTCTCCTAAGGGGTACTGGACTGAGGATGGAGGCGAGGTCAATAATGATTTTGAGATGAGCATGGCTGGTATGGGAGACATTGCTGCGGCACTTTCAAGCACGAGTGCATCTGCTGCTGCTACGGGTTCTGCTTAGTATTTAGTGATGCTTGTCTAAAGATTGAAATGGCAGACTTGCTCTTAGCCATTGAGGTAGGCGATGGATATGTGGAGGGATATCCGAAAATTCTACGTTATACAGGACAAAGACGTACAATTGATAGCTGGTACGGTACAGTCCAAACATAACGGTATACTTGCACGGTTTCATCAATTTTTGAGATATTGTTTGATCCTTACAAGTCAAAGTGAAGAAAATCCCTAGACTCTCCGTTACCGAGTTAAGATCAATGACTATCCCTTTAAGTCATCCAAACAGCCTTGTGTAGAATAACATTTCGTCAAGCTGTGCCTCATACTAGCATATATCGCGAAAGGGAGATAAATGGCCGTTTTCCGAACATTACCATATCAAATGACGCCTTTCAGTTAAGCATTTCCGCTGGGGGTATTTCGACGAGAAGATTGGCGAGTCCAAGCTTTATCAGGCCAGTCACTTTTCCCCAAGTCTCTGGCTGTGGATATCGTCATGGAGTAGTAGCAACCTTGTGCATTCTCATACCTCGCCCAACTACTAAATCTTGCAGAGCGGGTTGAGCGATTCTTCTCCCACCCCATAAATCCTGAGCCACCTTCATGAAATATTTGCCGAGCAAAATCCACTATGTTCCTGTGTGGACAGATGTTGATAGATCGCAAGCTCTTCAAAGGACGTCCGGGTACGGTGTAGATCTCATAAAAATTGTACAGGCAGAGTCTCTGGTGCGTATCATCGTACAAAAGATCAGTCCTGATTCTGACCCTAAACGAAGGGTTCGAGTTGAACACGCAGGAATGCTGGAAATCTGTATGCGGCTTTTGGGTGGGAGGAACGCTACTGGATTTTCCATTGCTGACAGGAACGAACCTTTTTTCCTTTTTGCATTGCTGTATCAAGGCCAGTTTATCAACGAATGTGATTCTCGTACACGGGCAAATGTCAACTTCGCCAGCATATGGCATACAGCGTAGACTGCCTTCTAGAACGGAACATCCAGAGCAACATTTCGATCTCTTCGTATGCGTTTCCTTAAGATCGCGTAGAGACCGCCAGGTAAAAGCTGGGTGGAGAAGCTGACAGTCACTGCAGTATCTCCAACGATCGCTCTCGAGTCGAAGTAGCAACTGTACTCTGGGTTGTTGTTCGATCTTGGCGAATATGTCGCTCTGTATTCGTTTTTCGACGGGGAGAAGCTGATAAAGCTGGGTTTTTTGCTCCTCAAGGTAGGTCTTGAGACAACATAGAATATATTGGCAGCTTAGTCCGAAACAGATCTGATCTGGGGCGGAGAGGAATGTGAATATTTTTTCCACCAGTCTCGGAGGCAGGACACTGAATGAGCCTCTCAGGCTGTGTTTCAAATGGAGCTTTGTCAACATAGTTTGCATAGTGGAGTTGAAAGGCCTCCTGGTTTGAGGTTTGAGTGCCATGTCGAAATCTGATAACTTTTCGGACATATTGCTCGGGCAGCTGTTGGGATAGGCGCGATATTTCTTCTTGGGTCTAGCAGTTAGAACGTGGGCGATAGCTGTAAGAGAGGGTGAATGCTAAACTTTCAAAGAAATAAAGGGAGGGGAAGTTATTCTATTTGTAATTCATCACAAGATACATGGAACGTCTGTCGGCATCATGTCGTAGGTGATGAAATAGATGCGCAAGCACCGGATCAGCTTTCCGTCTGTGGACGTCACCTAGCTCTCACTTCCGGGCCGCTGGCTAAACAAAACAATCTGATCGGCTTCAATTCCGTCAGACTTGCACAATATTTGGGCTTAGAGGAATGGAAGAAAGCAAGCCGACATGGAGGCCCATATGTGAGCATCCAGCGTCGATTGGGGCAGCGAAAGCTCGAATGATGAATTTCAAATTTCCCAGTCTTTAATTTCACTTGTCATGATAATGAATAGAAATCAAGATCTGGACCAGCCCGTTCCTCCAATGATATTTCTTAACCATGTCACGCCGTAAGTCAAGAGTGGATTCAGCTAGGCGTACATGGCGGCTTTATGGAACTTCCTCTGGGTAAATTATAATTACTTTATCATAGTAATTTGTCGCTGGGATTACATATGCTGCTCATAGCTTTAATCTGGTACATACGACCATAGGGTGTGGAAAATAGGGCTTCCCGTCCGCTCAGCCGTACTCAAGCCACACGCCGGGAGGTTAGTAGTTGGGTGGGTGACCACCAGCGAATCCCTTCTGTTGTATGTCAAGATCTCTTTTTTTTTTGCACATAGATTATTTCGGCTTTGTTTTCATCTGATTATGTTCGACCAGCCTTGGATTTTTAACATACATCCCTCAGTGACAAGGCCATCCTGTAGAGATTTCCAAATATCCATCAGAAATTGGCCAAGGCATTGCATGAGCTTGGTCGACAAGAAGCAAGGAAACCTTTAACTACATCATCTTGTCCCCTGTTGTTCACAGAAATGGCCTAAAACCGGCGACGCACGAAGAGACTGGAAAACACAGGCCAATCCAGTTAAATTTCCAAATATCCACTTTCGAGGATTTCACGCACTGTAAGGCGCGCATCTGGATTCGGGTTCATAACTTCCACCAGAAATTGAATATCTTCACCAGAAACACCTTTCTCAACCATGCTGTTTGCCCACATATATGCCTCTTCCGGTTGTGGAGTAGGCAACAGTCTGGCGCATTGCTCATCCTCGGAGTAGAATGGCACAGAGGATAAGTCGAAATCAATTGCAAGCTGGTCTCGAATGACAGCACCCTTCTCTGCTAAGGTGCCGGTTTGAATCGAATCGTACATCCCTGGTGATCTGAAGTCTACCTGTGCCTGGAGCAATTGCGCCAACTGTAGATAGATAAACTTGTTAGCGAATTAAACATGGACCAAGATTCTGCCATTTTGCAAAGAAAGGCCCACTAACAATTATTCCCCAGGACCAAACATCCGTACTCGAAGACCATGGCTTTCCGAAATGAACTTCAGGACTTCGATATGTGAGAGAGGTAATCTCCCGGGTAGATGGTTTGCTAACTATGGGTATTGTCAGAATTGCTGATGCGAAAGAGAAATGATGAACAAATCACAACGCAAAAGGGTACATCACATACTAGATCCACAATCTGCAAGTCTCACAATCAGATCGCGGACATTCTCATTCGGCTTCGAGGGATCGAAATCGAACCCCCCCAAGCGCAACATTCTCCATTTTCAAATCTAAGAGCGCGCTATCCTTAGCTTCCATTGCTGTCTATCGGTGTCCTTGATTTTTTTTTTCTTACCAGTGTAAACCAGGCCTTTCATATGCACTGTAAAAATGCCAAGAAGGACGCCCTTCATGATTCATTTAATTTCTTTCGTAGTGAACGGCCTCACATTTCGGGCGTCCCAGAGTGAGTCTGTGAATGCTTCAAGGACCATCATCGGGCCACTAGGCTCCGACTCGGGGACATAATCAACGAGCCTTCGGATCATGGGATCCTTTGCAAAGAGTCTTTGCATCTCCAGTTCATGCTTGAAAGCAGCGAGAGCATCGGACCAGGATTCTTCAATTTGATCTCCTGGAGGCCGTTTCATGATGTACTCCGCATCGGGGTTAGAATCGTCAAGTCCGAGCCATACATTGCAACCTTTGCCGCGTACTGGTGTTCCAAGGGGCCGGACAAGCCGGTACCGTCTACCTTCTTCACCCCGGCAGATTAACCCAGCGGATGCCATGCTAGAAAGTGGTGTGACGGAAGAAGCCAGTTGAAAATTTTGTGTACAAAGTCGATGAAAATATGGAAGGCTTGATAGGAGAATGCGCGACGGGTTATGAAAAAGAGGTGGGCGCGCTGCCTGCATCTCGGCGCGATCGTGATTGTTTCGAAGACGACGTAGTTGCAGCGAGAGTTGTTCCATAGCCGCCGGCGCCGACCGACCGCGCTATTTGTATGGCTCGCTTCCGTTATTACTCCAGACCTAATCATTCACGAGTAACTCATAATAGCCCAACCACCCACATCACTGATTAACTTGGGAGCTTAGCAACACAGATCCTGGCGCCTAAACTCTCCAGATATTGAATTACATGTAGTCGCATGGCATCAAACCGTCCGAGACAGTAGGGGCACAGAGCGTCCTGGATATTGACTGTACTTGCTCATTGTGACTTGTCGATGTTTTGTTTTATGTCGGGGTCTGTCCGTATAGATCCCAAAACCAATGGTATGGTGGGACATTATGCGGCCGTCAGCAAGATATCTGGGCCACTCGACCTGCCATGCCCCCCCAATTCCTTAATTATCTTCCTCGCCCTAACTGGTGGACGGTTGCGCATGTCCGTGCTTATTCAGGGCTCGAACTTGCCAAGGTGCGGATGTAAGCGGAGCAGCTGCAAAGAGCGACCCTGTTGGCCCATTAGGATGCGATTGAAAATTGCCTTGACCAGCGATTGATAATTTCTTAACATGCGGTAAGATGCGGCTGACGTCTAGAAGTTGGTTAATGCGATTCTGGGGCTCAAGGGATCGTAACGGTAGTGTAATATTCTTATAGAGAATGGGCGCGACGATCTGACTCCACTGACGGTTGACTTGTGATAAGGTTCGCAGAGCTTCCCGCGACACGTTGCTCACCTAGACGGAAAGAGAGGGTAGTAGCAGTCTTACCGCACCTGCCACATGTAGCTTCAGCTCTGGTGGCAACCGATCCATGGCTCATGGTTGAGGTGGGCCAAATTGATGAAGTGGACAGCACGACGATGAGCGATATAAATGTGAGTCACACGAATCAAGGGCGTGGCATTATTATCAGAGAGCCCCTGAGTACAATAATGTCACCAAGTACACACAGATCCCTGTCAAGTCATCACAAGTACATTGACACATGATAAGACGCTGTGGGCACGACTTCAGTGATTGAGGCTGCAATATATTATCAGTTGATCGCATGGCTCACTATACCATTCAAGGAACCTGCCAAATCAATATTCATATGCTACAATGGGCAAGTTTTACTATTGAGTCATAACGAAGATAAGGAGGAGATAGAGGAATGCTCATTGCAGTGTGATACTGGCTACAGTTAATCAATCATTGCAAAGTATTATCCCCGAGGCGTGGATGTTTTACTACGATGACACGACATCACCGTACTCTTTCACTCCTAAATACAACGCTAAACCTTTAGAGGCGATTTCTTGTCCAACTCAAAATACTTCTTTACAATCAATTTCAAGGGCCAAAAACTAGTTGACTTGGCCCTACAGACAACTTCCTGGGCCAGGAGGAGCTCCATGTGGGTCCCGGAGGAGCTCCGAGATACTATAAGCTCGGGTATTCTGCCATCTAGCTCTTGATAATGCACCACTGACCACTCCGAACTTCTCCCTGAAAGAAAATACTTGATTGCTATCCTGATTCTAAGATATCAGGATATATACCAACCAATACTGGTAACCAGCCAATCTAAACAATGTCCGCAAACGACATCCGAGGTCGACTAGCCCTAGTCACCGGCGCTTCAGGAGGGTCAGTTTTCTCCCGCCACTCCCATGGAAACTTGTCCCTCAATTAGCCTTCAGATTGAAGCACTAGGACTAACAGACTCCTAAATTCAGTATCGGTTCCGCCTGCGCCCACAAACTCGCCGAAAATGGCGCCCACCTAGCCCTCACATACTCCACCAATGTCGCCGCGATACAATCTCTCCACAGAGATCTGCAAACCCGTCATCCCGATCTCCGCATCTCCATCCACCAAGTCGACCTCCGCTCCGCTACCGACATTACTTCCTTATTCGACCAAATCATCGCCCAACATAATGGCCACAGCCCTGATATTCTCATCTCCAACGCCGGGACCGGCAAGCGAATTACAAATATCTGGGACATCGATCTATCGGACTTCGACGATATGATAACCACTAATCTCCGCGCATCTTTCATCCTAGTCAAGGGCGTGGTCGAGCACATGAAAGCGCAGCGCTGGGGACGCATTGTTTTTATGTCGTCTATTGCGGCTTATGGGGGTGGGATTAATGGATGTCGTGAGTTATCCCCCTTGTCACATATAACCTGCACGCATAGCAATAGAGTATATTACTGATTACTTGAAATTGATATCTAGATTACGCAGCCTCCAAGGGTGGTCTCACCGGCATGATGAAGAACCTTGCTACCAGATTGGCTGAGTACAATATCAGTGTAAATGATGTTGCTCCTGCTATGATTGGGGATACGGGGATGATTCCCAATGCTGCAGCGGTGCCGGAGGTGGTGAAGGGGATTCCGCTGGGGAGGTTGGGGACGCCAGAAGAGACGGCAAATGTGGTTTTGATGCTAGTTACGACCGGGTATATGACGGGGCAGAGTATTTTGTTGGCGGGCGGGTTGAGGTGATAAGGTCATTAGTCTGCTTGAAGTGGTAGTTAGAATTTGGCGTCATGCGGTATATTTGATGATGATTGAAAGTTTCAATTGCTTCGATTACTGTACAAGTATCTTCTCTAATTGAGTAAGCTTAATGTAACAATGGTGCGCGGATAATGTCAATTAACTTCATAGTGAAAAGTCATATAGTGGGGACAGAGTCGTGATTTAGAGAAGGGTTGGGGGTGAAAGCGCGGAGGAGTGTAAGCATAAATGTATTGAATCGCTGATACGTTCCTCGCTATGGGTTCTTCAAACGATCGCAAAGATCATTGTTTACTTTTACCATTAGAAAATTTGCCATTGTAACGAGGTCAAAGACGAAATGGAATAATGGAACCAAGAATAAAAAGTTTGCATACAGTCATTCTATATCTTAACCACTGCACTATCTGCTCACCCCTCAAACAGGCAGAACAACCTTGACCCCCATGTATTCTCGTTGATGCATAATCTTTCCATCAATAAGCACCTGGTCAGCGCCAAGTCGGTTGCGCACAGTATCCGTTGGGTCCGTGACAGTGGCAATCTGGATCTCGCGCCATTCACGGTTCGTTGGGACCAGCTGGCCCTGGGATGTGAGTCGACGGAACTCCTTGTAGACGCCTTGCTCCTCAACACATCCTTCCCGGTGGATAAGAGGAGAGTCTAGCAGTTATCAGCACACTTTAATTGTTTCTTTCTCCCAAATTCAGACACACTCACCATATGCAGGCGCCATCCTCAAATCACCAACCGAACTGTTGAACAGCACCAAGGATAGACGCTCTTCATTCAACTGATCTACAGGTGGCTTATACACGCGATGGCGAGTCGCCTTGAAATGTCCGCCAGACACAATCTCCAAAGTATCCCCGATGTTGATTACCAGCGCACCGGGCTTGTATGGCACATAGTACCATTGTTCATCACGGCCCCAGATCTGGAGGCACGAAATAGGGACTGAGAACAAAAGCGTGGTCAAGCCAAAATCGGTGTGTCCGTGCATACGGAGACCCTTCGAAGCCTCTTCAGTTTGCTTCTGCACTGGTCGGAAGAGGGCGTGTCGGAAGTAGCCTTCTCCGGTTGGGCTGCCATGAGACTGGACGTTGTTCCAGAGGTAGTCGTCGGGTAGCTCAAGAACACGGGAGAAGAGGGTAAGGAGGCGTCGGTTGACGGACTGCGTCAGGTAGTTGCAGAAAGCCTCGATCTCATCCATGAATGGATGCAGGCATGTGGGGACTCGGTTGATGTCCTCCCAATCCTGCTTGTACCAGTTGAATTGCTCGATTCCATCGGCGGGGCCACGGTTGCGCTGTATGTTGAGATTAGTTTCTAGAGCTGTGGAGAAGGGTGGGGTAGTATCTTACCTTGAACCCGTAAGGGTGCTTGTATCCAGACCAGAGACCTGTGTCGGGGTGGAACAGGAGGCGCTCTTTGTCTTCCTCGCTAATGTTGTTGTAGAGATACTGTGCAAGGGCGAATTGGCGGTGTAGCTGGAAATAAGGTCTATTAGTATGTCTACCTTTGTCACTATTGAGGGCTTCCACCCACCTGCTCCAAGGAAACGCCGTAGTTCTCAAGGAAGAGGAAACCGTCATCACGGATGGCGATCTTGACCTGTTGGATCAGATGATCTACTACTGCTGGGTCCTCCGAGTCGAGCAGCGAAAGATCAATTGACTTGAGCTGAGCAAAGTTGTGCTTCTCCTTTGTTACCGAAGGGGGGACCCATTCTGGCACAGATGGCTTTCCGGGTAGGTCAGCTGAAGGGGGGTGAAATGGAGCTGTGGGTGCCATGGTGGTGTTTAGACAATGGAAAATAATATTGTTTGACCAGATATATGCAGTGTTATTTGGCTATTTGCTATCTCTTCTACTCCGACTTGGACTCGATTATATACACGTCTAGGTTGAGACTATCTCGACGTCCGCGATGCCCAGCTCACCCAAGCCATGTGATATGGTTCAGGGGAGCTCTTCTGGCAGAGGAGCCCACGGGATGCGTACAGTACTGCCTCTGGAGCAGCAACAGATGAAGCAATGGCATGATGGATGCTTATCGAGCCTTGCGTTCCTCCTCCAAACCAAGCCTCCTCCCTCGATGGCGCTGCTATCTTAGCGTGTCCGATAGGGTTGCTCTCGGATCGCCGAAGGTGGTTAGTTCGTGCCGATCAACCCAGCAAGTCAGGTATAACCGTGATAACGATAAGGGAGGAGCTCCTCCCACAGCCTCCGCATTGCAGGCTTGGCATCGCCATCCACGAGAAATGTTGCAACAACTGGACTAGCAGAAAAAGCCATTTAAAGGGGAGATCAATGACATTGGCATCCCCCATTCAGATCACAAGCTCTAATCTCAGAGTGTCGAAGATTAACACATCCAAGTTCATCCAATCACGATGTCGCGCCAACTTATCTCGAGCGAGAAGTTCCCTCCCAAGCCTCACAACTGTGAGTAGCTCCCCCAACTTGTTTGTTACCAGTTAAGAGCACTGGCTAACTTGTATTTGCAGGCCCCGCAGTCAAAGTTCCCGGACTTGTTTTCTGTGCCGGTCAAACTGCCACTGGAGAGATTAAGCAAGCCACAGTAAGCATGCGCTCACTCAGCGTCTCCCTGGTATAAGATCCAAGTTTCTAACCAGCTCCACAGCGAACTGTACTCCAAAACCTCAAAGAGGTGCTCGAGCTATCCGGGTCGTCGCTCGAGCAAGTAGTCAAGTACAATGTCTACCTGGCAGACATGAAGGACTTTGCTGCCATGAACGAGGTATACATTGATTTCCTGCCCAAGCCGATGCCTTCTCGGTCGTGTCTGCAGGCAGTTCCTCCGGGCGATGGAACGGTTATTGAGATTGAATGTATCGCGCAGGCGTAAATAAGTGGGTAGATATTTTAGAGGGTCGTCGATGCATAAAAATAAATTCTCATGACATTTTAAATAGAAACTTTTGACTCTGCCAAACACATTACTCACTAGTGAATTTTCATACTTTAGCGCTCCTTGCGTACATGCCTGTGCTGCGCTGAGTTATAATATCTAGCACTAGCAATTAGTTCAATATTTCCAGTCGTGCTGTGTAATTGGGTATACAAAGCCGACGAATATGTAGAAACTAGCTCGCAAGTCAGCTGGTCATCACACTTCTGTCAGGTGATTGCGTGATTGGTCTTCCCCCTCCTCTTCTTCCCTCTCCCTCTCTTGCTTCACTATATACCTTCGTCTATTTTTCCTATTACTTCATTATCAGCTCACTGGAATTCGTCAATTCTATCTCTATTTGGTCATGGACATAAGCAGTACATGTCATTAGCCATGCTACAGCAGAAGAGTCTTCGATACGAGGCAATGCTCTCATTCTTCTAGTTCAGCTAAATGACAATGTTTTCTAATCTATACAGTCCACTCTGTTCATGACCTTGCTACCTCAAACTCTGCCATATACCAATTCTGAATCGCTTTGGTGTCGCCTGTGATAGCGACCGTGTCATATGTCTTTCTAGCCTCCTTTGCCAAAGTCCCATTGTTAACCATTCTCCCTGCCCACTTGCCATGCTTCCTCGCCGCCGTAACAATCTTCTCAACTGCAGCAACAAACTCCGGCTCATCTCCCCGTGCAGGCACGTAGCCGAGGAGAGACTGTGCCAAGTCATTGGGTCCGATGAAGACAAGATCCACACCCGGAACGGCGCAGATTGCGTCGACATTCTCCACACCAGCACGGGTCTCAATTTGAATCATGGTGATGATAGTCTCATTGGCTGACTTCATGTACTCGGGCGTAGTCAGGCCATGACCGATGGCAGGAAAGGCGGACCCTTGCCCCCGCAATCCCTGTGGCGGGAACTTGGCGGACGCCACCACTTGTTGTGCCTCTTCGACGGTGTTTATTTGGGGAACCATGATGCCGTGGGCACCCGTATCGAGCGCACGTTTGACAATGTCATGAGTGGGACCGCGAATGCGGATGATGGGGGATACACCCAGGGAGGAAATGGCTGCGACAGAGTTGTGCATGGCGTCGTCGGAGATATGACCATGCTCGCAATCAATGATGATACCGTCAACCCCGGTCAGAGCGACAATCTGGGCCATGCGCACGGAAGGGAGGGCCATGAAAGTCATCAACGGGTATTCTCCGGCTTTGATCTTGTTCAGAAGCCGCAGCCGAGGGTTGGAAATCTCGGTTGTGAGAGGAGTGGGGTAGGTCTTCGTGTAAGTCATCGTGTCGGTGGTATCAGGAGGATTCTGTGGTAGGCAATGATGACACTTACTGGACTCGCCGACATTGTCAGTTAAGTAGTTGGTCTGCTACAAGGATGTCGGTCGTGTTCAAAAGAATTCGTTCATGCGGGGAGTTGAATGGGAGGAGTGCTTAGCGCTCCGGGAGGAGCTCCGCCGATTCATCTCAACTCCTCTTCCTCCTCCACTCCTCCAGCAAAGGCTTGTCACACATGGACTGAACTGTGTTCATGTGGAGGGAAGAAAAGATAAGGTTAGTGCGCTCCTCCCTCCTTATCTACCCGGCGCTTGATTGCCAGCGAATCAGTGACTCACACCAGTTCGTAACACACTCCACATCAATAACCGGTCGGCATTACCCAGATGTCATGGATAGCACCGGCCTGTCCAATCAGAATAACATGATATACACCTATGATGCTCTTTAATATCTTGGCCAATCTCCCCTGAGGCAACAGCTCGCAGGTCTTTTTCAAGCCTCCACTCCTGCTGTCATGGATAAATCAATGGATCTCAAGAGACGCCCCTCGTCCATCAAGTCCGAGGGCAATATTTCCTCTGCAGAAGGGCAGGTCAATGATGTTGTCGGCGATGCGTACGAGCGCATGCCAGAGTCCCTACGCAGCCTTAGCGAAGATGAGCGCCGACGCCTCAATCGGAGAATCGTCCGCAAGGTGGACCTCATGGTTCTGCCTACGGTTGGCCTCTTGTATATTCTGAACTACATCGATCGTCAGAACCTTGCTTCAGCCAAGCTACAGGGCATCATGGAAGATCTCCACATGTCAACCGACCAATTTGCCACGGCCGTCTCAATTCTCTTCGTTGGCTACCTACCCTTCCAAATCCCCAGCAACCTCCTCATCACCAGAATCGCCAGACCGGGCATGTACATCTGTCTTGCTGTCACCATTTGGGGCTGCATCTCAGCTGCAACCGCAGCTGTTCACAACTACGGCCAACTACTTGCCGTGCGCGCCATCCTCGGCATCGCCGAAGCCGTCTTCTTCCCCGGAGCAATCTACTACCTCTCAGCCTGGTACACCAAAGCAGAGCTTGGCAAACGCATCGCCGGTCTCTACATCGCCCAACAAGTCGGCAACGCCTTCGGAGGGCTCTTTGCCGCAGCCATCCTCCAACTAGACGGTGTCCACAACATCGCCGGCTGGCAATGGCTCTTCATCATCGAGGGCAGCGCCACAGTGGGCATCGGCATAATCTGCGCTTTAATCATGCCCGGGTTTCCACACAACAGTCGCATCCTCTCCCCAATCGAGCGGGACCTGGCCGTATGGCGCATCGAATCCGAAGCCGGAGCCGCGGAAGGCTCAGAAAACGAACCCATCCTTCGTGGATTCATAAAAGCCCTCTCCGACCCCAAACTCCTCCTGATGATACTCTGCAACATGCTCTCCCAATGCCAAGGCTCCATCGCCAACTACTTCCCCACCTTAGTCGGCTCCCTCGGATTCTCCTCTAATACCGTCAGCCTCCTCCTTACCGCACCGCCCTACGTCCTTGCGGGCATAGTCTACTACGGCCTCATGTTCTACTCCGATCGCTACAACACCATCTACCCACTCATCATGGCCTGCATTTCCATCTCCGTCGTCATGTACATCATCCTCATGTCCACCCTCAACATCGGCGCACGGTACTTTGCAATGATGATCCTCCCGTTTGCCTCTGTCGGTCCGCAGCTTCTACTCTACAAAACTATTAACCTACATATGGCCCGTCCAGTGTCCAAACGCGCTGCCGCCTCCGCCTTGGTGAACTCTATCGGCTGTACGTCGAACATATGGGCGTCGTATCTATATTACGATGGTCCACATTTCTATGCTGCCTTTGGAACGCTCATGGGTTCGGCCTTCCTCCTGGCTGCTACGGTCACGGTGTATCGGTGGCTGGTCCGTCGCGAGAACAGATACCTGGATTCCGGTGACCCAGATCTGATCGGCAAGGTAGTCAAAGGAGGGGTTACAGAGGAGATGGTGCAGCTGCAGTGGCGATACGAAATGTATTGATATATAGCAAGGTATAACTCTGTGGTAATCAGACAAATAGTAGTCACTGGTAGTTACATACATACATACATACATACACACACTCTCTCATAGCTGGCTATAGAAAAATACTAATCCAGCCCACCCAAACACCCCAACACCAACTTCCCAGTAACCCACCTCTCCCTCCTTCTAAACACCCTTCTCGCCCAGCGCACCGCCCCTTCCACATCCCCATCACCCACACCAACCACCCCCATTGCCCCAGGCACACCCCCTCTCACCAACTGCCACGCGACCAAAAACGCTTTATAGGCATACAAGGTCACCCACGGCGCCTCGCCCTGCACATTTCCCTCCTCCTCCAGATACATCAGAAACCAATCCACATGGGACTGAAACGCCTTCGCCGTCTCCGCTTCACAGAGGAACTCACACGCCGAGGGCGCCAGCTCCGTCGCCTGCTGGAGCATCGTGTCGATACTGGCTTTCACGATGCCGCCTGTGTGGCTGGGAGACCACATCTGTAGCTCGATCATGGCGGTTTGCCAGGTTGCGGTGGCGTGGGTAGTGGATTTCGGGGGGAGAGTTGGTGTTGGTGATGGGGAAAGGAATACACCTAGAGATAGGAGCGATGAGCGAAGCGCTGAGAATCGCTCCATGCTTAGCATGCCGGTCATTGTCGACCAGCCGGAGATTTCGCGCGCGCTAGAAATGAGGAAGTGGGTGATGTTGATGGCGCCGTAGGGGTCGAAGGGGGGGATTGTGGATGTCGATGTAGATGGAGATGTAGGATCTGTGGCTGAGGAGGATAGGAAGTGGCGGACTGCGTCGTCGTAGCGCATCGAAGTAGCATGGTGGTGATGTTGTTGTTGGGAGATGAGTTGGAGATGGGCCCATTGGGCAGCGGAGGGAGCGGTCCAGTGAGTTTCTGGACAGGGAAGGTCGTGTTTGACTTCGAGGTGGGAGATGGCGCGGGGGATGGAGAGGAGTTGGTACCACAGGGAGTCGATTTGATGTACGGCGAAGAGGGTTCGTTTGTGGGATTCGGCTTTGATGAACTCTTTCCAGAGGGAGTCGAGGTCCGAGGTGTGGGCGGATTCGGTGGAAATCGGGTGCATGAGGCCGGTGGAGCGCGCGAGAGATATCATAGTCGCATGCATTTGGAGGCCTTGTGTTGAGTCGGAGCCGCAGAGGTACATCATGGCGCAGGTTTGGAGGAGGAGGTAGGTTTGGATTAAGGGGAGATGGTCGGTGGTGGTGGTGTGAAGATTGTCGGTGGAGGAGAGGAGGGAGCGCGCGAGGAGGTAGCAGCGGGTGGAGAGGCTGGTTCCTGTGTTGAAGCGGGCATCACATTCGGGGTCTTCGCCGTATTGATATGCCAGCGAGAGCATGGCGAGGAGGAGGTGGGAGGGTATGGCGCTCGGATCGAAGGTTGGGTGGTGGAGGAAGGGGAGGAAGTGGGAGATATGCGTGAAGAAGAGGTTGCAGCCTTCGCGGATTTGTGAGGCGGATGGAAACCAGTTGCTTTGAGGCAGGGTGCTCTCGGGCGCGATAGGGATGATAGAGAAATCTTTTGAAAAACTGAGGTCGCTCAGGTCAATGTCCGGGGGAGGCTGTGAAGTAAACATGGCTTGCGGCTGGTTTTCGAACTGGTCTGTTGCTTGGGTAAATGATGTTTCGCGTAACAAGCTACGCTCCAGATCTAACGCGTCTAGCAAAACAGACTCATCCATTGATATATGTTGCGTCAGGTTACCTGGGGTAGACTGGATACGATCGCTGTTCTCCATGGGTGATCCGCTGGACGCAGTGCTAGTTCCTCCTGCATCATCTGCATACTGCACTTGCGATGGCTCAGACGTCCACACCGGTCTATTCAGCTCCGGCTCATCAACATCCCCCAGCTGGCCACGGTGCTGACCAGAGTTCTGAGGCCGAATGGAACACTCGTCCCTTTGTTTTGACCTTTTTGTCGTTCGTCGCTGCTCATGCTCCGCATGCTTCCTCTTCATATGTCGATGGCGCAAGTCCGGACGCGAAAAGGTCGCCTGGCACAAGTCACACGGCAATGAAACCTCCTTTTTGGAACGAGAGTGCAGGGCTGCATGTCGTTTAAGATTCTCATGCCGAGTGAACCGGCGCATACAAACCAGACATTGGAATGGCTGGTAGGAAGTCATGGCTGCGTTGGTGTGGATGACAGCCGCCATGAGGAGAAGCTGGAGAGGAAGAAGAAGCAAAGAGGGGAACGGCACGACGGAGCAAATGAGAAAATCCGGGGCGCATAGTCTTACCCCACCCCCGCAATTTGTCTAGTCGATCCTTCGGTTCGCAGATGACAGGTGGCTGACTGCCCTTGGCACGTTTGGACGGTGTGACAGATGGATGGCATTCGGCTATGAGAGGAAGGTGCTGCTCACAAATACTCTGATCTTTGGACAAGAAAAGAGGGGAACAAGATGGGAATCATGGGGGAAGCTTGTCTTATCAATGACGGGCAGATCGGCTATTGACTCTTATCTGATATCGTCCGTCTTCCCCAGATAACGATCTTTATCTGGTAGTCACTGATTGGTCAGTGCTCCCCCTATCAAGGGACTGCCATGTGGCCTTGAGATTCCTTTGGATAAACCTCCGGTATTAGAAGTGGTAATAGTGCTTTCGATGGCTAGAGAGTATTAGATATAGTAGGATTTTTTTTATATCATTGATCACCAGACTGCCGTTTCTTCTGGTGAACCCGCACTATAACTCCAAAATATATTCAGTCTATGACATGGCCATAGGCTGACCTACTACATTTTTTCAACCCCAATAGTAACAAAGAAGATGCTTACACCGTGCTTGTCTCAGTTTCACTAAAAGTAACTACAAAGCCCGTGGACTGAACGCTTTGAATTCCCACTGGTGCAAGCACTGACCGAAGCATGCAACCAAGAGGAATAGCATAGCCCCTATCACATACTATAGCTATATACAACTAGTGTGATGTCATCCCACTA